TTTGCATACACGTGTGTGTACGTCTACCAGTCTACTTGTCTCAGAGTACTTTAACAAGCCGTTCCCGAGCGGTATAGCCTTACTTGATTTTCCACGTGGTACCGCATAAGAGTAAATCTTTGTGGGCATAGACCGACGTGAAATAGAGCTGTTGAGCAATCAAGATGAGACTATTCCTCGTTAAGGTACGTAGGCACCCTAACTACTCAGAAAAATTTGGGGAACGATATTATATTTGGCCAAAATAAAATATCATAGCCCAAAACGAAATATGTAACGTTATGTTGCCTGCCCAAGTTGCATATTGAGTAACCCCAAAATTTGAAGATGTTGTGCCTGATGAAGCCTTGTGTCTTGTTAAAAATTAAAGTTGATCTAGAGAAAATTAATGTCAATATAAAAATCCTTAACCACAATATTGAGATCAACGTGAAAAGAAAAGACACAAGGCTAGGATGTAGGACATGTTACAAAGTTATAACCGATCGCGGATTTAATATCCGATTTAAATGTTCTACTGTAGCGTTTAAAACAATCTGATTTCCAAAGTCCCAGTGATTGTATCATGCTGTCCTCAATACCTTTAGAACTAGCGCTAGTGGCCGCACCTGATCGAAAGGAATGTCCGCTATAATCCTTTTCACAATATCCTAATGCCAGAGTATTGTTTTAAGCTTGCTTATAAAATAGTTCCGGGAAACTGGGTTCCGATTTCTTCAACGAAAAACGAATCATTGTGCTTTGCGTTTATAGGTTTCGTCTTACACTCAGCAGTTGGAATAGCAATTTATACGAAAAAGCGATGTCATCAATCCTGAACAATGAAATTATAATACCTTGTCGGAAAATATCTGTCTTTGTAGCTTACTTCGCTTTCTGAAACGAAACATCTGAAATAGCAATTAATACGGACAAGCGATGCCATCAATCTTGAACAATGAAATTATAATGCTGCTGGTTGCGCCTGATTGAAAGGAATGTCCGCTAAAATCGTTTTGTCTAATTGTGTGACTGGACAAAATATCTCTATGCAGTCTAAATGGACTTCGGTCGGACAATAAATACTATTCTTGTAGTTGATACAATGTATTTGAAAAAATTACGTCGGTGAAATAGTAAGCTAAAAATATGTCAAATGTAAATATAAACAGTGATGAAGATAATTGTAAGCAAAAGTTCTAAATTGCAGTTTTTCACGCGATCGTATGTATTTAGGCCTCTTCAATAACTTCAGTTGATCATGATGTCAGTTCTTCACATAAATACGCTATAAGTATCACTTATCCAATTGGTTGAATGAACAACAGACAAAGAGCTTCTCCTCCATATTCCAAATATGAAATAAAGAAAAAACGAATGTAACTGTGTGCACACTATCTGGTATCATTTAACATACTAAACCTTACTATGTAATAATCAACCAAATTACCCAAAAAACAACTACTAGTAAGAAGTAAAATGATAGTTTCAATCAATCCAACTATTACATACACATGTATCGTGACATCTGAACTTGTGATGAGTTAGATGTTTGCCCTATGTTGAAGTGTCAGTGTGACTTTGAGATAAAGGACGGCAATAAAAGCATATTGTGATATTGTGTCATGAATTGATATATACCATATCCTTTCTACTTCCTCATAGTATATAATCGTTGTCCGGGACAAATGTATATATATTAGGATAAAAGGTTAAGTTGCATGACTTGTCTATCATTCATTGTGTCATCGAACCTTAATTTCGTTAATTTTCCTAATCTGTAATCAGATTTACGTAGGTAAACTGGTAAGGTCGTCGTTGTTGAATACTTGAAGGTTAATTGTTTGATGAACTATAACAGACAGTCTGAATGACTGTTAGTTTAATGTACAAGCAGTTTTGTGGACTAGAGGTAAATGATATTTGATGGTTTTTAGAAAGTGTCCAAAACTTTCATGAGGTGAATATAAATATATGACATGCGGGAGAGTCGAGTATGAATAGTTACAGCGAATGGACATGTATCTGCTTAACCTTGTAAATTTGGTAAAGTGTATATATACATGTATGTACATACATTTGTAAAATTGTAAATGTGAAATTGCATATTTAAACCAATGCATAGGAAGAACCCCGTGGCTTATATATGTATTGACAAATCTATACTACTAAAGGAAGAGACCGATTTCATTAAGCCGCAATTCCTCTGAAACCGTACAAAGTCGGAAATATTTGTGAAATGACGTATAAATGTAGTGTTTGTACTTCCTAAATTTGTCTTTGAAACAATCTTTTTCCACAGAAAACGCCATTTTTTTTAGAAAATATCCACATTCGGAGACCGTTATCGATCCGTGTCTCATACGCTTTCGCGCATGTTCAGTCAGTCAGGGGTTGATTCCTGATGAAGTACTATAGATTTATTTTTCATCCGATTTCGATGGGATTTTTTTTTTTATTGTGTTACTCATTTTTGATCCCTTTCGGTAATGTCAACGGATTTGACGTAGCTCATACGGTTATTGAGTAAAAAGGGGTAAAAAAAAAACAACTGACAATCACACATTGCCACACTTTTCTTGGGTATTTAATATCTTTATTTTCCCACCGAGATAAATGGGGTCTTTTGCGTTATGTTCCTCATTTTCATCGTTTAAAAAAAAAAATTGAATTAAATGCATTAACCGTGTCCAACTCCTTACTGTGTCCACTTTATTACTGTGTCCACACTCTTGTTTCAACACTTGCCCAATTGTACCGCGATTTCGCGGGCATCTTCTAGTACCATGTTATAAATGTGTTGTAGTCCGATGATTTACTCTCATTCTCATGATTCTTGTGAATTCGTAGCATAGTGTCAAGTAAGAGCCTCTATGCGGAACGTAGTCTTGTTGAGTGTTAACAATAATAATGTATCATGATCTATAAGAGTATAGTGTAACGTTTACTAAATACAACCTGGTGTAACATCTCTGTAATCATAGTTCCATATGTACATGGTATACAAAATCTGAAGTCTATGTGCACGTGCTAAATCAGGTGATCACCATAAACATGTCAATGATAAAACAAATATTAAATAGAAAATTTCACATTCAAGATGAACCTATGCACTTGCGAACCTTATGTAACACAACAATTCTTTAAAAATAAAAGATATATATATATATATAAATATATATGTATATATAAATAAATAGAAAGTAATTATTTCTGTCTCTTGACTACACGCGTACGTTCTATGAATGTCGAAAATATATATACAACATCGTGAACTCAATTAGGCGCAATAAATTCTCTTCTGTAGATCTTATATCGAGTGAATGTGTAGATAATTCAAATGATCATGCTAAATTGCTGCTCGTCAGTTTCAAACTGCACGCATAATTTGTTGTATGACCAAAATATGAATTGAGATGACATGTCTATCGATTATTAATCATTTAAAAATATCTATTTTAACGATAGCTTTCAGAATCAATGAAAATTCTAGAAAATGAAATAAATTACAATAAACTGACCTGTCTAGAAGATAAATGTGTACCAGATTCTCAAGACACGTCTAAAAATGTTGGTAAACCAGTGCAATCTTATCTGTAGGCCAATATCCACTCAGAGTCATTAGCAGAAAATATCGGCATTGACAGAAACGCAAGCGTAAATAACAAACTAGTGAAAAATTCTGACGTACGTTTAGTGTTGTATACTAGATATATTTATTAACATAGTTGTTACCATTTGAAATTTAGCATCCATTTGTATATGAACAAATAATTGCGTAGCGTCTAATAGAACACATCACTAGTAATCAGCCTACTCGTTTCCAAGTAAATGTAACAAATTGCAAAATAAAGCATTTATTCCCATCCGGATCCGTTTCGACACAATCTAAAGTGAAATATCGAGTATAATTCTAAATCTTCATACCTCTTGTTTAAAATGTTGCGGGTGTATAATATAAACACAATAAGCTGTCGTTATTCGTAAGGTTATGTTGGCATTGTAAGAATAGTTATGAAATAACCGAAAAATTTGATTTGAATTTTTTGCACTGCTACTGCTACTACATGTAACTAATTAATGCAACTGACTGAATAAGCCTGACAAAGATTGAAAATTAACACGTGCACCAAGTTCATGAGACGGTTAAGAAAACATTGCCGTCTCGACCACAGACATCATAAATCTAGTAATAAAATGTGTATCATCCACCTAAATAAATAATGGATTTTGACAGAAGCCGAGTCGGACAGAACATGAAACACTAATATAAACATCAATTAAAAATTTCTAATTGTGTTTTGTGTACTATTGTTTGTCTGTTGTTCTTCTGTATTTTTTAGCCATGGCGTTGTCAGTTTATTTTCGACTTATCAGATTGAATGTCCCTTTGGTCGCCTCTCTTTCATAAGGATAAAGTTTTGATATTCAATAAGACGTTATTTATACTAACGCTGAACCCTATGTTTGATTACGGTAAGGTTTTATTTAGACCTTTTTTAAACTCATTATCTCGAGTGAACCTGATGAAGGTAACGTGTATTCGGGAAACAATTGTTGAGTGCACAGAAACGGGAACTGTGCGTTTGAAGCAATTTTTAATTAATCATCAACTCCAAGTGTGGTTGCATTTGGCTTATACTATGTTAATTCTTTCAAATTACAGATTGATTAACAATAGTAAAAATAATGACCTTTAGAAAAAGTTTCTTTCATTATAAGTCAGAACAGATAAAAAGGACAATTCGTTAAAGATTTGAATAACATAAAAACTAATTGTTAACATTGAATTGACATTCACTGGACAAGAAGTTTTGTTTCTTTACAAACCCTTTGCGAAATGTCCGAGAGAATTGTATCAAACCTTTGCAACCGGATTATTATTGTAAAATATATAACAGAATTATGAAATTCAGTTGGGCTTACGTTCTTATGAAAGTCAAGCGGCTGTAGTACTAATGTCTTTTTGCGAGGGAATACAACTTATCCGTATGAATGAAACTATAATAATAAAATAAAAATGATACAAAAGATATTTATTTAAAAAAAAAAGATATAAAAGTTAAGTAAAGACATAACATAGCAGATTTCAAGGGTATATGTCAGGGTATAACACTAGAATCAATGCACACGCTGCAGTTGTATTATATAGCAATAAGCAGAATTTGACTTGAAACATGGATAAAATGAAATTAAAAATAAGGAAGACACATTATTGTTATTATAATCATTAATCGTTGGGAGTAAGTATGAATTCTATAAAGGCACTTCTTGATTTTAATCTTTATCTACATTCCACCAATTTATTGGGGTACTTTTTTTCATAATTTCTATCATACTGTTTATAAAAGGAATGTCCTTTAATAATTTTTGTTTTAAAACCAGTGACATATTTTGATAGATAAATCTGAAGTGTGAATACTTTTTATTTAAATTGGTGACATTTTGACTGTTTTATATGCCTCCCCAATGCCTTTACCTTCCAATCAGACGCATCTATATAAAAAAAAATTGCTAAAAATAAATATTGAAAATTAATTTAAAAAAAGACTGCACAATTGACTATCTTTGACATCCCCCCTGAAGTTATAAATTAAAGTATCGAAGTCTAAAAGGATGGTTTTAACTACATTACAAGCAATTGTTTCTATTCAACGGCTAACATGGATTGTTCGTGAGCGTTATTTCATCAATTGCGATGTCACCTTTGTTCTTCGTTCCTCCTTTTGATGCTTCTAATTCAATCTGAAAATAACAATATGCCAAATAGTATTAGCTATTACTTTTGTTTTTAGCATCTCGGAGGAAATGCAGATAGTATAGCATTTAAGTAGGTTTTGTAAAATTCGAGGTAAATCGGTCACATAAAATAAAACACAACTGACAGTGCGATACAAAAATAATCATAAACATCCAAAAGAACAATTCACTTTTTAACAGGTCTAATGCGACTTCCAGATTAACAAAATTTTAGGAAAGTAATTTTGCATTCTTGTCAATTTGGTACTGTTTTTTCGCAAAAAAAGTTTAATCAGAACCAAAACATTTAAAATTCGAAGAAGCTGGATGGCTTAAAAAAAGGTTGAGTAAGATAAATATCTCAGTATAAGTTTAACAATAAAAAAAAATATTTATCCAACAATATTAATATTTGGCTATTTTTCAAAACAAAACTTGCATTTTGGACGACGTGCATCAAAGGAGAAATAAATGCAGGTATTCATTATTGTAAATCACATGCTAGTGTTTACTGGGCACAGAATAATAAAAATTAATAAGATACATACAACAAGGTTGGAGTGGTAAGGAATGTCCACACTGGCAAGGGACCATTGGTCTCCTTTATTGCCAGACATCTCCCAATTTACAGACCAAGATTCTGTGTCTCTCTCCTGTGTATACACGGAAAGTGATCCAATATGACGTCCATACATGTGATAGTAAAATCGTAGACAAAATGTAGAAGCTGCAATCAACAAAATTAAGTAACAATTTACAGATATATTTCATTAAGTTTATACTATTATCAAATTAATGGATACATTAAAAATAAATGTTTTCAATGTGAACTGAACAGTTTTTGATTTAAGATAAAAACAAACATTACTGCTTTGACTAAAATGTTGCAAGGGTTTGGAAAAAGTGTACTGAAACACTGAGATATTCAGATATGATTAATGACAAACTATTTTATTGTGAAATTACTTACCGGGAAGTACTGTATTAATAGAGGACAAGACTGCCAAATCATTGATTTGTTTTCTAGATACTTCAATATAAGCATATTGGCTCCCAGAATATGCATTAGTAGGGCCTGTGTTTCTGTTCTTTGTTGGACCCTGTATTTTAAAAAGAACATTTGTTGCTAACGTATTAAGGTTTCTATATTTTATATAATGTATTTGTATGTATACAATGAGATTTCAGGTCTATGTAAAAACAAAGGACGGACAACATCATAACAACACAAAAACATCAAAAGACATCTTAAGGTCGTACGGTGACCCATAGAAGTGTTAACTTCTATGTAATGTGGTCTCTTGTGGAGAGTTGTTTCATTGGCAATTATACCACATCTTAATTTAATATTTTAAATCAATATAGCATTCAACTTTGTTTTTAATGAATGCAGAACATATCTTCGAGTGAAGGATATAACTGAAAAGTCAACCTTTGCTACGCTGTCTGTCGGAAAAAAAACATATTTGATTACAATCGTTATCATTCCTTCAATATATTTTGTTTTAGATGACAATATATAACGTCATTTGTGTGTTTGTTTGCCATAAATTCTAAGTCAGTACGTTGAACAAAGGCACACATATTTAAATGGGGACAATTACCATATCGAGGTTAGGATAAATGTGATAAATAATAAAAGTTCATTTATTTCTGTATGCAGGATTGAATATGGAAGTATACAGACCGTTGTTTGGAAAATGTCAAACAGATACACATTGTCAGTTCAAGGATATAGGGATCCAGTTTGCCATTAAAAAATCAAAATGACGCCAAAAATCAGAAAACTAGAAAAACTCCTCAAAGATACTGGATTAAAATTTTGTACGCCATTGTCTACATTAGACCCATTAGTAGGGCTCGAATCGAATGACATCAGAAGGCAGACAAAATCAAATACAAAGTTGAAGAGCACAAAAAACAGAAAATTCTGAAAAGTTATGTTTCATACGACTAAGTTCATATATGCCCGGGGTAGAAAACCCTTAGTGTTTTGAATAACTACACTTTTATTACTTGTCTTTTCGTCGTTTTTCGTGTTGCTATGGCATTGTAACTTAAAATTCACGTATGAGTTTGATTATGCCTTCGGTATCTGTTTCTTCTCTTTTAAAAACAGTACATGTACAAAGTGAAAATATAAAGGATTGTTTTGTATATATAAAAATGCTGACTACTGGACTGGTAAAACCATCGACGAAGAAACGTCTACCAGCAGTATCAACCCAATGGTTTACTAAAGCTCATCCAAGATACCAATCTTTTAATTCGGTTCGCTAGACGGTCGTTTTGTCTTTAGATTCATCTGAGGCTCTCAAATAAGTTGTAAAGACAGATAAAAAAAACGATCTTGGAGAGCCATATAAACGAAATTCCGAAAATTTATGCCAAATACGACCAAGATAATCTATGTCTGGGGGTTTCTGGATATGGACTGTATATGAATCAAACTTACTGACAAGAAAGATATTTTAACTCATACCTTTAGTAAATTTGCTGTTGGTTAAAATTTGTCAGCTGGACGAAATAATTCGAGGTTTTGTTTCTATTTCTTTTAGTTAAAACATATTTTATTATTCAAAATGACAAATGGATCAGACACAAGTTTTACAACTTAGTAACGTCTTCTTTAATATTTTTTATTCATTTTAAAGATGTGTCTACTGGTATCAGTTAAAAATTCACAAAAGAACAGTGTAATATTTTTATAGACAAAAAAACCTGTGAATACAAATAAATGATCAGAAGTAATTAGTGTGAATTGTTACAAAATATGTTTAACCTAATCAGAAATCAAATAATTAATGATTAATTATCCTTCTCTTTCGTTGAAGTTTTCATCACTTCATTCAAGATCACATCTAGTGTGAAACTCAAAATAGTGTACGTATCACATTAATTGTTTGTATATCTTTGGAAAAAATTAGAAAAAAGCTAAGCACAAAATCTGGTTAAAAACTGTACTGATTATCTGATATTTTGAAAGAAATTTAAAAAAAACGTTGATCACATGTTCATCATTTTTTTATTAGTTTTATTCCAGAGACAAAGGCAGACGTGCATCTTATCTCTTGGAACACAAGGGTCAATACTTCATGTGTATCTCATTTGGTTAGTATTTCGAATGGGGGTCATAATCATTTGTTTAGATTTGAAAGAAAATAGCTTAATTTTATATGGAACCTTATATACTCCTACATAATATTAGTTCATATTATGAATAATACTTACTGAATGACCTAGAGTCCAGTCAAAGTTGTCGCCTAGAATATTTTGGAAAATACACACTTGTCCTTGTTCAAAACCACAGTTATAGGACAAACCTATAAAAAAATCATATTGAAACATACAAATATTTTTATTTACAAAGGTTTAAAACCATCATTCAAATGAATCCTTAATTGATTCACTCATAAAAATTATGATCACCTATATTTAACGACTATATACTTATTTCCATGTAAACAAATGGTAAACTGAGTATATAAATTCGTAGTAAGAGACATTTTTGAAACGAAGACCATTCAAAAAAGAAGAAAATAATTTATGAATGCTGCCTTAGCTACGGCATTATAATCATTTTGCATACTGGTATTCAACAAGTCAGAATGAAAGATGTGCAATTAAAATGCAACTTGAGTATAAGAACTTACATAATGTAGCCTAGATATACGTCAACGAGATACAAATCTACATGAACGCAAAAGAGGTTTCATAACGAGTGAGAGTTGGATACCGCTTAAATAAGTAGATATGGTATGATTGTCAATGAGACAACTCTCTCTTTCAGAGATCAGATGACGTAAAAATATACAATTAGTGGTCACCTTACGGCCTTCAATAATGAGCAAAACCAATACCGCATAGTAAGTTATAAATGGCCCCGATATGACAAATGTAAAACAATTCAAACGAGTTAATGTATGGCCTGCTTTATGTACACAACAATAAACGAAAAGCAAATATAATATACAGCAACAAACGACATCCATTGAGTTACAGACTCTTGACATGGGACAGGTACATACAGAATGAAGCTAGGTTATACATGTTTAATGGCGTCAAAGCCCCATCCCTTAACCATGAACAATGGTGGAACAGTACAACATAAGCCCAAACTTTAAAACTCAGTTGAAAAGGGCTTAACTCATCAAATCGATATGCATTTTTGTTTAATAATCTGGCTGCAGCGGTATTGCCACCTTTGGCACAATTGTACATTTACTAAAGATATATGAGGCGGAATTTAAACAAATACAGTTTGCAATCGTATTTATAAGCTTACTTGTCGAAGTAGTCGTCGTTGTTGGAGATGTTGTTGTAGTGGTTGGAATTGTTGTTGCAGTAGTTGGAATTGTTGTTGTAGTAGTTGGAATTGTTGTTGTAGTAGTTGGAATTGTTGTTGTAGTAGTTGGAGTTGTTGTAGTAGTTGGAGATGTTGTTGTAGTAGTTGGAATTGTTGTTGTAGTAGTTGGAATTGTTGTTGTAGTAGTTGAAGTTGTTGTAGTAGTTGGAGATGTTGTTGTAGAAGTTGGAGTTGTTGTAGTAGGAGTTGTTGTTGTAGTAGTTGGAATTGTTGTTGTAGAAGTTGGAATTGTTGTTGTAGTAGTTGGAGATGTTGTTGTAGTAGTTGGAATTGTTGTTGTAGTAGTTGGAATTGTTGTTGTAGTAGTTGAAGTTGTTGTAGTAGTTGGAGATGTTGTTGTAGAAGTTGGAGTTGTTGTAGTAGGAGTTGTTGTTGTAGTAGTTGGAGTTGTTGTCGTCGTTGTTGTAGTGGTAGTTGTAGTAGGTACAAGAGGACTTCCTGCAAATCATGTATACACAGGTTTATTTCAATTTAATACAAGGGAAAGTGTACATGCGAAGTTGAATTCCATATAAATAGCTCTTTAAATTGAATTACTTTTTCGAAATTTAAATGAATAAAATAATTTTGAATCTTTATTAAGGCCAACATTTTTTACTATATGTAACGACATTAAAAAATAATTTATGAAAAAATAATCGGTATATATAAAGTGGAAATATCCTACGCCATTGGCACCTTAATAATTGTAAATAAAGGAACGCAAATATGACAAACGTTCATAGAATAAAGCTTTTATCAATATTTAGTTCATATCTCGATACCAAAAATAAAGTTACCACTCACTATGTCAAATCTGATTATTATATAGAATGCTAGACGCACGTTAACATAGGCAAAGCGCACCTTAAATACATTTTGTTTTGCTTGTTTTATTAGTCTTTGGAAACGTAGCTCCTAATGTATATATTAACTTTTGACCACCTCAACTAAAGGCTTAGCTCACTCCTTTTAATCAATTTTTAGTTATTTACTTTGTTATTTTAAGAAATAGCTAACGATACAAACTAAATGACTACAGCCTCCATCTTCTTAATTCATACGTGAAATATGTGTTTTGTTGTGATAATTTTCTTATAGTCTTTCCTTGTAATAACATAAACGGTACCAATTTTTCGGCACCAGATGCGCATTTCGACAATCAATGTCTCTTCAGTGATGCTCGAGGCCAAAATATTTGAAAATCCAAAGCTAATTAAAAATATGAAGAGCTATAAACAAAAAAGGACCAAAAAGTTTAGCCAAAGCCGGGCAAGGAATCAGAGCTTTGCATGAGGGAGATACATTCCTTAATTTTAGATAATTTCCAAAATTTTGTAACAGCAAATTTTAATAACATAAAATCCGTATTTTCATGCCAGTACCAAAGTACTGGCTACTGGGCTGGTGATACCCTCGGGGACTATCAGTCCACCAACAGAGGCATCGACCCAGTGGTAGTAATAACATAAACGGTACCAACTTGTAAGAAGTGTTAATAAACTTTTTTTTCAACATTTGTTTTCAACATTTACTTATCGCAGTAGATTTTCACTTTCTTATTCATGCCATACTAACCACAGGTGCCGGGAATCAACCAAATGTCATCAACAGCCATATCAGACATAAAGACAGTATTTCCAGTCATTGATTCAAATGTAATCTAAAGAAACAATAGACACAATTCTGTTATATGTACAAAATGACACACACAACAATATGAAAGATAGATATATGCCTGATAACTTAATATTAATGATACGAATAATCTTATACGTTTAATTGCAATACTGAAAATAATGAAACAAATAAAGTAACTACACAATAAATCAACAGATGAAAAATAGAATTACAAACTAGATCACATGCTAACATAAGGAAATTTCAATTTAAATCAAATCTGATGTGTATTTAAATATAAAAATAAGAAGATGTTGTATGATTGCAATTGCCAATGAGACAACTCTCCACCAGGGAACAAATGACATAGAAGTTTATAACTATGAGTCACCATACATTGTACGGCCTTCAACAATGCGCATTACCCATACCTCATAGTCAGTCAGCATGAGTCGATATAAGGTCAACATACTACATACATACAAGCTGTAGGGAGCTTTGTAATCGACTATTTATGTTCTACTCTGCCAAAACTGGCCCAAAATTCCCTCCAGCAAATCGTTATTTGAAATTCATGTTTAGAAGGGATTCCAATAGTCAACCCGTTATGGTTTTCACTAATGTCATGTTTTATGTATCGTGTGTCTGTTGGAACAATCCCCTAGACATTTTCAAGTTACATCATATAAGGACATGTGATTCGTCAAAATCCAACTAATAGGACTATGTAATAATATACTAATGGGGTGAATCTGCAAATGTCTGCATTGCTATTAAATCTCGTTATACAGAACGCAATACTTTGTAATTTATTTTATTCTATATGCTTTATTAAACGTGGATTAAATAACACGACGACATGTCTGTCTTCGTTATTTTCTGGTAAACAATTCATCAATGCGCTTTGTAGGACAGTGTTTTGTTGTGCTCTGTTCAATATTTTTGTATATTCCTGTAATCCTTTTTATGTATTTACCATACATTTTTCTCGGTGCAATTTTTTGTTTACAGACAATTCACAATAAACGCTGTATTGTAACTGGTATGTAAAATTTCGATTTCCAGGTACTGCATGCTTTGGTCCAGTCTTTGAATAATAATTGTATCTGATGATGGTTCATGTACAAAAGCAACGAATAGAGAATCGAACATTTTCATGCTCCATAACATTACTGTAACAAGTTTTCAAAATCTTGCATGAGGTGATTAAATATACTTCTCATTTCGGACAAAAACTGTTCCCACAGAAGAAACTAAGTAAGCTAAGTTTTTACTAACCTGCAAATTATCTACAGCAGGTATATCTATCTCTGCCTGCCTCCAGACGTTGCCTTGATTGCCAGATTTTGAGAACAGTAAATTTGATCCACTATCGTCTGTCATGGAAACATTTAATGTCCCCATTTCTATAGCAGTATAACTGTACATATGATACCAGAAAGACAAACATCTCTCAACCTCTGCAAAATAAAAACTCAAAGGTCAAACAATCAGAATAGTTTCTTGACTTTAAAGATTCTTACAAAAATCGCCAAACACTCCAAAAGTATATTGGTCTTTAAAATAGAAACATATACCTCAAAAGGAAAATTATTGACCAAAGTTGTTTGAAGTATGGTTTGTATTCACTAATATAATTCCTGAGATCACGCCCGGTTTTTGGTGGGGTTGGTGTAGCTCAGCCTTTAGTTTCTATGCTGTGTTTGGTATACATTCTTTTTGTCTTTTTGTCTTTTTTGTTTTTTGTCATGGCGTTGTCAGTTTATTTTTGACTTATGAGTTTGTATCTTTTGCCTCACTTTCACAGACATAAAACACAACTGACTAAAAATATCAAACAAACATACAATTTAATCATGAAATAACATCTCTAAAAACATGGCATTATTTTGATTTATTTTCGATGGTGGACAATATTTAAGGACTTTTCAGAACGTGTATAATCTCTCGGACTTGCACAATATTGAGTTTCCCTGTAAAACATGGTCACAGGGGTCATATGTAAACTAAGACGGTTTATAGTATCATGCTGATACAGATTTTCTATATTGACGTCTAATGCAACTGACGTATAATGTAACAATCAATATATACTGGATTTTTATATGTAAAAGAAATAAAAGGTTGTTCTATGTTATTCAAAGATGGAGCTTTTATCTTGAACGGTGGAGTCATTTCATGTACTAGTTATAGTCATAAAATCAATGCCTCTGTTTTAGTATTTTATTTCAAGAAAATTTCTCTTCATTATCTGCAGGTTTAGCAATAGAAGGAAACAGACTATGGTGACAAAAAAGGCTGTAATGATACGCCTACACTCTAAAAATTGATATAAAATCATGTTATATACTTACGGGTATTTCACCTAGTTTACATTATAATTGATGTCTATCATTATTTTTAATAGAGATAAGTTGACATTAATGTATGTTCAAATTGTATAATGGTGCACGAATATAACATTCGTTTCCTTTTCCTGTTCTGGTAATTCAAGATATAATTTGGTTGAAATGCACTAGAAATAAAACATTAAGAGGAGCCTACTCCGTAATTTACTATCATTCTAACCAAAAGGTATCTAGAGATTTCTCGAATTACCCGACACGTAGAAACAAAAGTCCTACCATTTCTAACTCAGGACGAGGGTAACTTCAAAATAGGATGGTTAGGTGGTGGGGTATTTTCGGCCATGATTTGAATTTTGAAATTTTTCTAAATTGCCTGATTCATACAAAGACTGGCACTTAAAACTTCCCGTCCTCTGTGTCCTACATATTGATTTCCACATTATCTTTAGGTTTACATCATGTTACCTGGCAAAATAGGTTTTTAGCTGCAAGTAATGTCAAAGAAAAAAGAGAGTGATGCATTGATATCATTATTGATTGTAAATTTGCAAAAATGGAGACATGAATTAGGATCCCAATTACGGAATGAGTAAACAATGCAATCGAGTATCTTAAATAAAACTGTCATAATATGTACATTTCGACATGTTTCGACCAGATTAAAGCAACATGGTCATTTATCAGTAACATCAACATGATTTTAATGGCTTGAATAAGTTCACTTTTTTGGAATTTCAGGGGTTAAATAGTGATTTTTATCATACTCGATCTCCTTTTTCACACAAGAAAAACTTCTCGAAATATATATAAGTACGTGTACGTCTTAACAAGTGACAACTCTACGACATATCCATCCATTGGATCACCAATGAAGGTTATACAAGGTTGAAAACACATATTATATTCATAATTACTATAAATATCAGCACAACAATGTTAAATCTGCAAATTTGCGGAGGCAAATAATTTTCTTCCCTCGCCGGGATTCGAACTCATGCTATTGTGATATCGTGACTACACCGCCCGCACTGTGTCCAGCGCTCTAGACAACTCGGCCACCTAGACTGAACTAAAAACTCAGCTTTCGGTTGCCTAGTGTTACCTTTCCTCGTTAATAGAATCTAGAGTTGTAACACAGTACATGACATATTAGGCATGAAGATGGAATTGATTGATATATATATCAAAATGGCATTCAAGTATGTTCAACTTCACATAATGAATCACAATCCTTGAAAATATGACAGGTGCTAGACAGAAGATGTTACATATGGCTAAAATAGTCAAAGTTTCATCTAGTACAAAAATAATACAAAATTTCGTTTAATAGGGTCAACTACATCCGACGACAAACAATCTCGATATATTGGAAGCATTCAGACACATGGTATTATATTGTGTCATTATGTAACAAGAGAACAAAAAATGTCAAAGGTTAATAACCTGCACAAAAAGCCATATCGTCATGACTTCATTACAGCATGATGTTGTAGTATAGTAGACTGATTGTAATATCAAACAGGTATTAAAGCTTTTAGGTAAACACAATCCAAATTAGAACCCTTCACAAGGTAAAATTGTGTTACAATAGGCCAAAAAAGGTCAAAGTCCCATAACTAAATACAATTGTGAAATCTAAATGGTCAACTCTATATTACTACAAACAAACCTCAGAAGATTACCGTTAACAGGGTATCATTTTGTTGTTATAGGCGAAATTAACAATGGATAGATGTGCAGCTAGGCTTTACTTTCAAACGCCCTAGCTAAACTGTAATCTTACTGAGAATCACGAAGACTTTTATGTAATTAAAGTACGAACTTTATTAGAAGGAATGCATCTGTTGAGACAGTATACTCACTTGGTAAAACCATATTCGTAAACATAATAGCCGTATCGCCAAATGTTCGTTTATTATAAGTCCTTGTATATAAATATGTATTTCCTTCTTTAGCAGCTTTTGGGCCAGTATAATCATTATATGGTGCCGCTTCCTGAATGAAGTGAGACATTTGTTCAATAAATGTGTCATATTTATGTTTTTAAAATAAATAAGAAAATTTTATTTATCGTAGGTGCCTTACACATTAAATTAAACAAATAAAAAACGTTGTTTCTTTAAGATTAAAATGAATCAATAGTTGTTTTAGTCATTCATAAAGAGAAAAGTTGCATTAATAGACTTTGGATATTTTCTTTTATCTATTTCTTGTATGTACTTGTATGTTCTTTATATTCGTATATTCACAACAACAACAAAAAAAACATTTCAGTAATGCTTCACATTTTAAACAAATTGATCGATAGTAATTCTAAACTAAGTCACAATCATTTCACAACATCGTACATGTTTGCTTCATAAAAAAAACTGAAAAGTTTATGATTCGCAACGGTCAACAAAATTGTGATGGCAATCAGTGAACATGTGAAGTGATATTTTTTACTCATTCATAACCATTTGGAGCGGTTTTTGATATAGGAGTATACCTCTATCCATGAAATTAACATAATGAGAATATGAATTGTGTTAGATAATGAAACGCTATAGGCTTGAACAGATGGTAGTATGCTAATCAAGAATAAGAAGTTGACAAAAGGATAACTGTCATGGATGCTGGTTTTGATTTGTCCATTAGAGATATTCATAAAATATCTATATATAATCATATCGTTTGTCTCTTTAGTAATCTTAACTTTGAGCTCAACGAGATATATGTATACACTGAGATTTAAGTATCCATTGCACAGGGTTTATCGAGTGATAGGCCATCATTAACATATATAAAATGAATCTAAGGATTACGATAGAGTCTTAAAGTACGCATTTAAGAAAATGTTATATAAATTCTGTTCTATTTCAGTTCAAATCGACAAGCAAGGGTGCATATAAGTATGCGTTAGAAAACCGACTGTCATTTTGAATATTGCTTTTCGGAAAAAAATCGTTTTGAAAATTTTATGATCTTTTAAGTGCACGGCAAAATTCTAGGGAAAAAAATATTCAGTATACTCACAGAACGAGTTTCCCAATCAAAGATATCACTATTTTCTTCTTGAACTAACATACAAAATTCACCAACCTCTGACGTACAACCAAAAGCTGAATACTCTGTTTAATTGAAGTTTAACGATATTTTAATTTGATTGTAACAAATTGATATCAATGTTTTAAAACTGGTGTAATTGGTATAAAACATAGTCATATTAGCTAAACAATTTCGTGATAGGTACTCAATTTAACAAAAAATGCTTAAATATAACTGACTAGTTCTAGGACATTTATTAATGATGGTATTATTGCATCTACGTACTATGATGACGAAAATGTTTGTTTTTTATTGAGGCCTATACTTCATAATATGTCAAAAGCTTAAAACTAAAACATGAAGATATGCATCGAAACCTTCTGCAACACTTACAAATTTGTCTTAGTCCAAATTTGTAGAAAATATTTTAAAGAAGGAAATGCAAATATATAGGCTTTTAAATGTGGTTATAAGAATTTCGTAAGAATCTGTAAAAACAATTGTAGAAGCATTAAACACTATCTATAAATCAAATAGTAAATAGAAAACAACTGTTTTTTGTAGTTCGAATTTGTATTATTTTTAATCATGTATATATCGTTTTTAAACAATTGACATACATGTACATTTTTTTGGCAAAAGTTTGGCCTCTCTGGCACTACTTGTTTTATTTTGACTTATTTTATACTGCATCCATCACAAGAGGTGCTCTTGGTAAAAGAAGTCACTAATTTGTAAAAATAACCATCATGTGGTGAGTTATCAAACATGTGATTTATTCTCATTTAAGGCATACGAAACTTTTTATATCATAAGAAACTGGTGGGTTAACCTGAACAGCAGGGATAAACTATAATTTTTAAATCTGTTTTCTCTTCTTGTTTTTGTCATACCTGAGGGTACATCACAGTTGGTTCCAGAAAATCCCTGGTCGCATGTACAGGTGTAGCTGTCTGTGTTTAATGGACTTTCGCATTGGCCAAACTTACACGGATAATCAACACAACCTGAAAACATTAATGATTTACATAAGATGTACTCATACTGTGTTTCAAAGTTTTGAAACGCAAAAAAGCGGTTAAATTTAGATACAAGTAAGAAAACACCTTTTTTGAAAACTGAAATCGTCTGCACAACGCAACTTAATGATAAAGTTATAACATGATATTTCACTTCCTTAGTTTTTACCAACCTGTTCCGATGGACTCAAGGGTCATACTAAACCCTCTAGATGCTGCCTGATCACTTCCTACATCGCTGTCAAATATTATGATCATTGTGTTCATTTCTTCGTCTACTGTTGTATCCCAAATCTCATTGTCCTCAATGTCTGTACTACCGCATCTCCTACAATACAATGTACACATCAACAAAGTATGTTTGACCTTTCCAGTTCTTCATACTGTCCACCTACCTTACAGAACCTTAGGTTAGGAAAGTGTGGTTTAGAGAACGAGTTGAGGAGTCCAAAGTACATAGAAATTCATGAATGTTCATTCCCATATTAGATTTAGTCGTTTTTTATGGCTCCGTCGGCATCAGTTTTAATATGTTTATTTTCCAATAACAGAAGGATAAAACTAAAGTTATCAATCATCGTCTTCAATAATATATAAGAGGGTGGACAGGGGTCCCTGATTCCCACTTCCCTACCCCCCCCCCCCCCCTTTCTAAACTCCCACTTCCCTTCCCTTACTCCAAGGCAAAAATCGTTCAAAACATTTTCCCTATTTGTAATCCCCCTCCTCCCGCGGTTTCCTCCCCTGAATCCTGCTACCCGCCCCTAATTCCCATGTTCTCTTTCCCGTGCCCACCCCCTCATATATACCAAAGATGAATAAATGAACTACAGAATAATAAGATCATACATTATACTGAATTCTAACATGACGTTCTTCAAACGCTTTGAGTACACACCCGTGGTAAAATATGAATATATTGTTTGGGCTATTCCGATCGTACTCCCGCGTCATATGCTTTTTTATGAATGAGCTACCCGACGTCATAGAACGATGACGTAAGAATATAAGCATTTTACGGGAAATTACACGCTTGTGAAACCGAAAAACATCACAACAAGGAAACTTAAACAAACGATGCTAAAATGTGTTATATAAGCCATTTTTTCAAACCTATCTAAATATGTCATTGTAAATAGTTTAAGCATGCCATTTATTCAGTTTGCTCCGTTCTTTTACGTCAATTTGATAGTGCGTTTATTTATGGGAACGGCAAATAATGCCTTCTCCTAGAGCGCTTCGATCCAAAAGAATTGCCGTATTTGTCCTATTAGAATCGAAATAATTCATGGGGACTTGAATATATCGTGATTTTACCACGGGTTGTCCCTTTATGCCGATATTTTACCCCTCGCTATCGCTCAGGGTAAAATATTTGTCATAACGGGCCAACCCGTGGTAAAATCACGATATATTCAAGCCCCCATGAATTATTTCTTAAATATACACAATAAGTAATGACATGAAATACTGTCTAATATAATAATGTTAAGAGTTTGTGCTGACAAATGAAAGAATCACGATGTTTTAATATTTCTAGCTACACCGAAAATAAAAACCAAAGATGGAGTATCCTTATCAAATATCGGGATCAAACACAGATTAAATGGTGTATATTGTGTACAAGATAAAAAAAAATCCATAGATTTGTGATAAATATTTAGAAATATAATTATTCTATCAGTTAGTGTTACACTAAGTTAAGTGTTATTTTGTGTTTGATTTACAACAAAGTGACGTGTCATTTCCATTGAATCCAATGGACAAGAATTACATTGATTCATCTATTACTGTCAGTCAGACGCAAAGAATCTTTTTTATGTGGTTCTCTGATTTTGCAAATAAAACTTTAAAGCATCATCAGATGAAAATATCAACTGAATGATTTCAAAATTATCATAACATGAAAGTATTCTAGTTTTTTCCGAGATTAGAAAGTTAACTTATGAGTATTGATTAAATGAGTTAAAAAAATCTTTACAACTTTCAGTTCGTTTGTGATTCCAAAATCTTTTCTGTTAATCTGTAAGCATTACAAGCGTAATATATATTGAAGTAAGAGGAATTATCAAAATATTCAAATTCAAACTTAACCTCCATTTTATAACAAAATATTAGATTTGAAAATGATTTCGGGCGGTTTTATTTAAGTAAATCACACGGACACGACATTGTTTTCCAATCAATCAAAGATTTTATTTAAGTAAATCACACGGACCCGACATTGTTTTTCAATCAATCAATCAAAGATTTTATTTAAGTAAATCACGTGGACACAATATAGTTTTTCAATCAATTAAAGACTACAACTCTTGAACGATAAAAGTGACAATCGGCGTGCTGACTTCGATATTAGCGCGAGTAGGAGAAGCGACCTTGAGATCTACAAAAGGCTTTCATAAAAACCTGTTGGTCGAAATGGGATGAAAGCAAAAGAGAAAAACAATATGAAAAAACATATAATGCCAAATTTACACAATAATATGATCAAATGAATGCTTAGGTTATCTATGACTTACAGTGGTCCCATATTGCCAAGTAGGTGATAACGAATCTGTATAATATGATCAAATCAATACTTAGGTTATCTATGACTTACAGTGGTCCCATATTGCCAAGTAGGTGATAACGAATCTGTATAATATGATCAAATCAATACTTAGGTTATCTATGACTTACAGTGGTCCCATATTGCCAAGTAGGTGATAACGAATCTGTATCCAGTGATAACAAGCATTGTCGTTATTGCTTATTTCCATATCTGTAACAGTGGCTCTAATAATATTGTCTGGTACCCCCTGTCAAATTATTTATAACATTCAATTCATTGTCTAATATAATACAGCGACTATAAGATATAAGTAAATCAAATCACATACATTTAAATACAGATGAAGATTTATTCATCATTATTTAACCCTCTAAGACACCAAGTGTATGCTATTATCCATCAAATAAACCGAGATGACAAACTAAATAAAATTCAAAACATATCAGAATCTTTAAGTGCCAAGTTTTCCGACTAGGCAGGAACATAACAATGTACTGAAGCGCATGGGTTATTAAATATTCAAAGTTATATGTGATCTCATAGTTAATTATAAGAGTCAGTGTGTAATGAAAAAACATACTCTCGGCTGAAAAGGTATATCACCGCGTAAAAAGTAAATTGAAAGTATTACTTTAATTTTTTTCAAGGAAACAGTGTTGTCCATTTGACCAAATCCGTTCATAATCTGAAGAAATAAACCATCCCGGGAATGAAGCAGGAATAAAAAATAGTCAAAACTGAACCTAATATGTCAGAGATAAGAACAAATCCCCCCGTAAAAACTAGCTAAAAATAATTTCTGTACATTAATAAACAAATACTTTGATTTATTGACGCCCTATCTATTCATCATTGTGCAATTACACTCTATTGTTCCACCTTCTCCTTTTTAAAGATTTGTACGGAAACTTTTATAGATCAATAAAATATAATCTAAGTATGAGTACATTTTGTCATACAGAATACACATTAAACATATAGAAAGTAGAAATATGTGTGTTTCGAGTGTAAACAAAGGTTTCCAGACAAGCGACAATATTTAAGTTTCAATAATACTTGATATGAAAAGTTTTGAAATAAAAAAAAAATTCGTGTTCCTCAATATTATGGTTTCTGTGTAGTGTTTTGTAGACTTTTGTTGGTCTTTTTCTAATTTTTCATATAGCCATGGTGCTTGTTTGTCTTCTTCGACTTTATTCTACTAAGATTTATTATCCCTTTTTTTAAACAAAAACAGTAGTTGAAATATCATATATTTCAATAAAAAAAGTAAGAGAATATCCTATATTCCATAAACAAGTTTCTACACATGACAGAGTACGCGAATGCAGTACACATACTCAGCATGTTACACATCTGTATTTAAGATGTTATCAAATATAAATTTCGTTTAAGAAAAGGAGTTAACGAATGTACTGAGGTTCAAAGTATATCAACAAGAGATTCAATTGCCGTAAACATTATGGCATTGATAGTTATTGAGAAATATCTTCAAACAATCCTCATGACAACAATTTCCAATCAACTACCAATGACTTGGTAAACAATTTTGAATGAAAGTTGAAGGGTTGGACCAGGTTTTGTAGCGACCAAAACTTCCTAGTTGCATGGCAGTCATTTTATTTCCATATCCACAATTTGGAGTAGATGTCTCCAAAAAAGAAAACAAATAAAATTACAAAGAACAAAAGACAAATAAAACTTACAAACACAAAAAATACACAAGAAATGATAAAAATACATACAATTCATAAGTAATAAAATATTATTCCGACATTATTCGGATGTCAATTTACAGTTAACAATTTTCGTTCCATCAGACTCAGTGTGTTTTATCATTTCAAGAAGACTGATTTCTCTTCCCTACAAAATAAAATGATCCACCTTACACAATTAAAACGTAATTACGCTAATCATCAATTTAAGAAAACTGCTTGTTCAGCTGATTTCAAAGTTAACAATCCATATAGAAATGAGAAGATGTGGTATGATTGCCAATGAGAGAACTCTCCAGAAGATACCAAATGCTATAGAAGTTAACAACTATAGGTCACTGTAAGACCTTCAACAATGAGTAAAACCAATACCGCATAGTCAGCTTTACTTACTTTAATTAACCATGTACATTTTAAACCAAGACCATAATTGTTCGGATAGTTTGGTGATGTCAGGATTTTTGTCTCACCAGCTGCTAGGTCTATGGTACCTCCGCATGCATCTGGAATTAATACATATGGATTTATTAAATTTATGTGACACATGTTTGCTTTTTATTGGTTGCTCAATTCCATAACTTGTATTGATCATTATCCTATTCTTCATTGCAATCTGAAGCCCTTGACTCTGAAACACGACTGTCCTTTTGGTTTGTGCTTGTTTACATCTGTTATAAACTTTAATCGTCAGTTTTCCACTGCTCTTTTGATTCATTATAACATAATAAAAATCAGGGATTTTTTACATAATCATTACCAAATACATATTAACGATTGTGTACTTACCGGTGTTAATTGGCTGCTCACAAAAATCTCCTGATAATACGTCAGGACATTTACATGTACAGGTTTTATCAACAAATCCTCCATTCTGACAAGGAAGTGAAGGAAGTGTGGCACAGGAATCTGGAAACAGTATTTCATAGTGGAATAAGAAAAAATTTAATTATTTTAATTTTGTAATTATAAATGGAGAATGTGTGCATGTGCACATATGATGCGCTCGCTTGCATATAACGTTATAAATAGGCATAACTCTTTAAAAATGACGCCACTCAAATTCGAACTTGATCTGTATTTTGTAGTAATAAGCATTGTGTATAACTTTCATAAAATTTGGTTGAGGCAAAATAAAGTTAGAGAACGGAAACCAATTTTTGGACGAGAGGGTAACACTTAATGTCCTCTCCGGTGACGACGAGGGCATAAAAATAACCTAAGGTTATGTTTAATTGAAGTCTACATTAAATCCGTACTGCTTGTCGAATATTTGTAAATGCAAACTTCAACAACGATTGCAGTATAAATGGGATACGCTTCGGTCGAAACTGATTAATACAAATATAAGAAGATGTGGTATGATTGCCAAAGAGACAACTATCTACCATAGACCAACTAATGTTAATGTTGGCAACAGATTACTATACGTCACCGTAAATCCTTCAACAATAAGCAAAAACCATAACTCATAGTAAAAACAAAATTTCTTCAAAGATACCAGGCTTATAATTTTGTACGCCAGACGTGCGTTTCGTCTACAAAAGACTCATCAGTGACGTTCGAATCAAAAAGATAAAAGGCCAAATAAAGTACGAAGTTGTAACAATAGAATTTAGAATGCGTAGAAAACGATATAGTTCCTTTCATTTTTTACTTTATTTACATGATCAATGTAATAAAAAGATTAACTAATCCAATACAAGAGTTAAAATATCGAAAATGTTCAACTTGTTACCGAACAACACTTACAACTAACGAATGCGTTGAATATTTTTCCATGTTTGAATTCTTGTATTATTTATTCTTTATTTCATTGAAAACCGGGATTTCACAGTGAAAAAACTCATGATTTTAGATGTGAAATAAATCCGATATTTGAACTCTGACAATGAGTGTTGTCTAGATATTGTCAGTAACGTTGCAACAACACAATTGATAATACGTAGAAAAAAGATATAATCACCCCGAGCACTTAATTTAATAGTATAGACCTTTTCATAGACTATCAAATTTAGCAAATATTTACAACTCAAGAATTTTTTAATTGGTCTATTTATATGTAAGAGAATGATAATCCCTTTCTTCATGAATAAGTACGAGCGTTAGCGAGTACTTATCATGCTGAAAGGGATTATCATTCTCTTACAAACTAAGAATATTGTAAAGTGCTCAAGGCTCAAATGATCTCTTGATTGGTTTTATTCAAGAATTAGTGCAATGTTTATAATTGATGCATGACTTCCTTTTTCGGCATGTCATTTGTGGATAAGTTTTAGTGATGTGAGGACTTTCTTATCATTTGGGAAATATTTATTTTTTGAATGCGTTATAGATATTAGGTGACACAACAGTAGAAAGAAAAGGTAGGAATTGTGTGTTTCCTGATTGTGAGTATGAATGTAAATCATGTAATATTTTAGTGAGGAATTATCCTTTTTAATTTACAGTTTAAATCAATAAATACATTTGAGTTACAACTAAATTTTATTTCACAGCCAATAATTTGGTCCGGCTTTTTACATATCAAATACTGTTTCATTATGTCAGGGAAATGTTCAAAACCAATGCCCTTAAAAGTTTTTAATATGTTCAAAATAAAATTTCTGTTTTTTTTTTTTTGGAATACATGTATTGGAAATAACTATTCTCCCCAACCGGTGATCAAGTAATCAAAGTTTTGGAAAGCTAAAGATTTAGGTTATTTTTTATCTGAAAGATTTTTTTTTTATTTTTTTTTTTTTGCATTGCTTTGGTATTGTTTAATTTTATAGTAATTTGAAGTTATTAATATTTTCATAATAAAATTCACGGTACCAATTTTACTGCACCAGTAAACTTCAAATTGTTTTGAGATTTTTTGTTTGTTTCACAATTCAACTTTTAGTCAGTTTCAATCACTGTGTGATAAATCCTTTCAATCTGATAAATGTGCTTCGGGGCAGTTGTAACTCATTTATAGAAACTCTTTGTTTTGAACTGAAAATAGACCCAAATGATAGGCTAATCCCTTACTAAGAACATGATTTACATTCATTCTTCACAATTAAGAGGCATCCAATTCTACAATTTCATTGGTCGAGAGTACATATTCTAACGATAGTTTATATAGGCTGACTACTTGTATTACAGGTGTTTGTAAAATTGAGTTCATTAACTAATTTTAATGTTTTGTGAATTTACTCACTAGTATCATAGTAAAATATGTGATTTTAAAAAGCCCTTGACTCCAGAATGAAAAGATGGTAGCTGCTGGTGTAAATATGTATATTGATATAAAGCGATGTTTTACTGCGTGTTCTTCTTTACATGGTAAGTTGACAAAATAAATTTACCATAAGCAGGCATGTATAATTAAATTGCAGCATGTTTTGAAAACATTTTTTTTAATTTCACAGTAAAACAAAAGCTATAATAAATTTGAAACATATAGATATATATATATGTGCTCATAGATAGTCTATTGGATAGGCATTTTAAAAAAAGCAACTACCAATAGATCACATATTATAGGTTTAGTGGTTATTTTTATTTCAAATTAAACACTAAAAGACTTATCAGAATTTATATACATGTATATATAAACGTGGCACATTCCCTTCAGACATTATCACGGTTTTTCAATTCATGGTGAAATAGATCAATTTCCTTAAGAAAGTTAAAAACAAAATCACCATCAAGCTTAAGTTGCCTTAATTTTCCTTCACAAGGATTCATAGTACACAATTTGTGTGTGTACATAGTAATTGCATGGATGATAAATTACTACAATTATGAGAAAGCGCTGTACTCTAATCAAGTTTTTAAGGACCGTATTTGTTATCCTTTATCGGAATGAAAGAAACTTGCATGTGTCCAAGGATTTTAATAGCTAGCAAGATATTTAAAATCAATGTAAAAACTATTTACAATTTGATTTTAATTTGACACAGCATTTTATTCCAAAATAGCCAGTGGTAATTTTTGTTTTAATATCTTGATTACAATACAATGAAATATTATCCTTGTGGTCATTCATGCATAGTTACTTAGAACACGGAAAAAGTATGTACTATGAAAATTAGAAGGCAAATTAAAGAAATTTAAATGGACGAGAAGTTGTAAGTATGTGCTAACTAATCAAAGAATTCAGATATCAAAAAATGGTTCAACTCGTGACCGAACAACAATAATAATTAACACATGTGCATTCATGAATTTATAGTTTACCTGTACATGCATAAGCTGTTGTAATATCGGCCACATCATAGAACATTAAGCCTGTAGCACTGTCTGCCTGGAACTCTAGACGCCAGTCATGAAACTTTATTGTTTTTCCTCCATTGCTAGAGAAAACCTGTAAAAAAAGCAAATTGTTTAGAGTTCCAATGATAATAATGACACTTTGAAAAGGAAATAAATAAAGGTTGTTCGCGATGTATTGTCCTGATTCAGATCTTAAAGTAACAATTTTATTTTAATATTATGACATTTCATCTGATGTTTTCGTTACTTGACAAAGAAGAGATGTAAATTAAATACATTTGGTTCTTTTTCACCAATTTACTCATTTGCAAAGAGCTTTCCATCGCACTTCTACACCACACTTTGGTAGTAACGTTTCGTAAACACAAATGAGTGTTCACAATTATAAATATAATATGTAAAGTTAGGAAAGTGGAGTTCAAGTCTTGAATTAATATGATTACAATTACAGTGCAAAAACTGTAAGAAAAATACTGGTGCAAAATATTATATGATGTCTTATATCTTTCAAACATACACACAAATACGCACACACATGCATTTATCAAGGTTTACAATAAAAAAAATCAAACTGCTAAAAGATACTAGCTTTTCCATTAAGCATACTATCTTGGTGTAAATCAAATGCACTTAATCGGGTTAGCGCCCTCATGGGTGTATTTAATACACACAATATCTACTGTAGCTACGACTGCCACCAGTCAGCCGTATGTAGACGAAATGCACAACTGATGTAATAAATCATAACCCTGGATATATTTTGTGAGTTATTTTTTTTCTATCTATCTATCGAGCGATCGATTCATCGATCTGTCTGTTTGTCTGTTTGTCTGTTTGTCTGTCTTTATATATGTCTGTCTTAAGGTTGACCTGTGTACATATTTAGACATCTAATCAGGTATTATCGTATGTTTGGTTATTGTTTATTGACCACATTTATAAAGTAATATATACCCATGGGTTTCAATTATTTTTTTAAATTACATTATATCATCCTTTTAGAAACAACAAGTTAAAAGCTCCAACTGCTAACTGATGCTCCTCGAATTGAACATTTATTTCAAAGGTTCAAATTATTATGAACATTGTATGCATGGAGGGACAAATCAACATGTACTATAGTTGCTATTTTGTTGCATGAATAAATGTGTTATAATTCATAGTGGGATAGCATACCGAGACCAACATTCTAAAAGAATAGATTTTAGTGAACTTGACCTTTCACCTGTTGACCCCAAAATCAACATTGTATTCCCAATCCTATAGATCTTTTACCCGTATAAGTTGCATTCCCATCAAGCAAGGAAAACTCAAGCTATCATCTGGAAAATAGTTTTTCCAAGAGAAGTGATTTTTAGTAACTCTGACCTTAACCTTTGACCTATTGTCCCCCGAATTCATAGGCTTCTTCCCCTTCTCTATGTCATCCATCTGTGTACGTTCCATTTCAATCATGCAAGAGAACCTTAGTTACCATCTCAAAACCTTTTTTCCGATTTTTGTTCATTTCTTAATAGGCTTCTTTCCCTTTACTATATCTTTCACCTACACAAGTTTCATTCCAATCAAGAAAGGGATACCCAAGTTACCATACGGAAACCATTTTACATTTTTTCCCTTTTTTGTATCAGTAACATTGACCTTTAATCTATGAACTCCGAAACAAGAGGATTCTTTCCCTTTCGAGTGTTTCAAGTATTTCAACTACTGTACCATTAGCCTGTCATGCAACACGGGGGTTGTGAGTTCGAACCCCTTGCGTGGCAGGTGCGTTCGTCTCCAATCTAAATTGACTAGGATAGTTCTTTCCAGCTGAAGGTCAGTGGTTCTCGTGGCTCCGGCTTCCTTCACCATTAAAAATGGCCGCCATAAAATAGCTATTAGTGTTGAAATTAGCGTTAAAACACCAACAATCAATCAATCAATCAATCCCTATACCGTCCATCTGTAAAAGTGTCTTTCTAATCAAGCAAAGGGTACTCGAATTATATTTGCAAACCATTTGTTTCGGACACATGAAAGGACAGATGGACGAAAGGACAGACGGACGGACAAAGCGATTACTACATGCACCCGATTTTTTTAGCGGTCACCATACCAAAGATTATATAACTTTCGTTCCGGCTTCCCAAACAAATATCATATCAATAATATATATATATATATATATATATTTAATTCAAAAATTAATTAGTTTACAAATTCAGTAGACACATTTATTTCCAAATCAGTAAGATAAGCAGTCCTCTGTCTGTGAGAGATATTGCTGGTTAATTAAACTTACATATAACCCGTACATCATATTAGACGCTGCATCCAATGGATGATTGTTCATCGTTTGTTGTTTTTGGAAGTTACCTTCGCGACCACTCTGTATATTCTTTTCTATAATAGTCATGTAATTATCACGGTCTGATCGCGTCTGCTCATGCTGAGAGCCAATGGCATGCATCATTTCGTGAACGGCGGTTGCTTTCTAAAAATATAAGTATAAGAATGGTAGGTAAATCGTTTACCAACACAGTTGAAAAAATATGGTACATGCAAATATGTTACGCATTTAAAAAAATAAGTATAACTGTCAATTTGCCTGAATACACTCATCATAGATACCAGGGTTTAAATTTTATACGCTAGACGGTCAAATAAAGTACGAAGTTGAACAATGTATAACAAATCTTATATGTTGCGCAAACAATACCGTAATAACTAGTTTTATTAAATCAGTGTTTTTAGGTCACAACATTTACTTGAAGTTAAAAAACACGAAACCTAAAGATATTGTGAAAGATATATCGGTAATACAGCAACGCGTTGTCATTTGAATCAAAAAGTAATATTAATCTATCAAATAGCATCCGTCAGATGTTCATAATACATTACTCTCTCAGAAATATGATAGTTTAAGGCTATATGACTATCAAATTTCCTGTGTTTAGTGCAAAACTACAAAAACTGACAAACAGCCTCGCTTTGAGATCTTGTCTATTGTATTTCGATATGACCAACAGACTTTCCCAGATCTATATTTTGAACAGGTTGTTTTAGATTTCTTATTCAAAGATGTAAAAATGTTTTAGATATCGTTTTGGATAAGACCTTCGCTCATATCTTATATATCCAAAAGCTATTTGTAAAATGTCGATTTTATTCTTATTTGCCCGAGGGTGATATTATATGTATCAAAATGCTTAATTTTTTTTCATTTACAACATATTTTGTTAAGTTGTGTAAATTGATCTTTCAACAATCAGTCGGTATTTCGATTGGTACTTATTGTGCTCCCATCCTTGCCGATTTGTTTTTATAATCAAATTAAGCAGAATTTATACACAACCTTCTCAAAGACAAAGAGAAAAAAAACATCATTTAAAACTCTTTACTTTCACTTTCATATATATTATTGAAGTCATGTCACTCATTAACCCACATTTCAGTGAGTGTTGGAAATGGGCGATTTCAAACTAGAATCTATGACAAGCGTGATGATTTCAACTTTCAATTCCAATTGTCAACTTCCTATTTCTCGGCAGTAACTTACCGTCTGTCCAAACGTATATCGTTTACATATCTCAAGTGATTCGTTACGCTCGTGTATTTACATAATATACAGACTGCTCCAACGGGGATATAGGTTAGAATGACTAGAATCGATACAACATAAGTTTTAGGGTCACTATCATGACTTGGCTGATCGATACGATATGTCTGTGTCTCAACCCAGTTATAGTCTAAAAGTCTTTAGATACCAGAACAGTCGTCTATTCTGTAATTTGACCGATTGTCTCATATTCCTGAATGTGACATTTTGACCGAGAGTGGATTTGCATGGCGGTTGATGCATTCACAGTAGGCGACGCTTACCCTATCAACGCATCCGGTCTCGCTCTCTATGGAGTTCAGTGTTTGTGTGTTATCTTGATTTGTCTTCCTAATCGGTTTATCGGACGACATCGATAAACAACCATTGCCATAATAAACTATCTTTGCAATTTCATGGGCCAAATAATGCTTCTATCGTACCATCTTCTTAAAGTTCTGTGAATCGATTACGTATATATATATACATCGATGGTACAACGGGTAGTACTTTTGCTTTAAGGAATGTTTTAAAATCTAATTTTAGTTTTTGACAAATCAATTCGTGTGAGATGGGACAAAATGTACAAGACGTGATGTCGAATGGTTAAGAACATATTACTTTAATACGAGAGAGTTCATGCGTACATGTAACAGTACGTTTTCATTTATTATAAATTCTTTACAGAAGGAGTTCTAGAGACATAAAACTTATATTTCCTCTAGAATGGACACGTTTCAAAAATGTCTGCTTGATCGTAATTACATATAAGTTAATGTGTAAAATATAAGTAAATGTTAAAAATAATGCAAAAATAAATATTAATACGAAACCAGCGGTATTAAAAGATACTGTCAATATTTTTTTAGATTTAAAAAATAAAATCTGAATATAGCGGGAAATAGAAGTTTTGAGTAAAATAAGCTTATAATGTTGATATTATAAACGATCTAATAGGTGTACATGTCCACTATATCTATAACTTTGTAATATGGCTTGTGAGAATAAAGATATATATATATATACAAGAAACATGAATACTCCGTAAATATACAATGCTTAATTACTAGATTACAGAAGGTTGCGGCAAATAGTTACAATTAAAATCGACTGATTAACAATATATATATCACATAACGAAGGCAAACTCAAAACGACGGTTTTCGCATATAATCTTTTAATAAGAAAAAAATTGAAGAACATTTTACGCAAATAAAGTGAGGTTATGAGGATAATAGTGTTCAGAAAAATTATTCAAAAGTTATTTTTATATTTTGGTGTGTATGAGAGAGATTCTTTGTTCAAGGTAAGGTCTTCAGGTCTACCGTAAGAAATTCTTGTTAGAAAGACAATACAAATGTATGCCTACTTCAAAATACACCGTTAAACAGAGAATTAATGCATGCAGAGAACATAATTTATCTTTCATAATAAGCTATTTATACAAAAACTGCGCTTACAGATTTATGAGAAAAAAGACTGCAATCGACACTACACAAGTTTCACGGTAATAATTTCTTGTTGGTTTTGCGCTACGATGTGTCGTTGTCCTTACTAACTAGCGGAATTTTTTCATGGTCTTAGATGTCTATATACCAGAATAGTCGTCTGATCTGCATATTTATACCTACTGCGTACTATTTTCGATTGTGACATTATGACTGAGTGTGGATTCGTATGGCGTGTGATGTATGCATAGCAGGAGAGGCTTAATCTGTCGAGGCTTCGGTTCTCGCTCATTTTGTATTACATGCGATTAACTAATTTTTTTTTTTTACTATCTTGATTTGTATCTTCTTATTGGGTTTATGACAATTATACCACTATCTATATAAATCTGACAAGTTTTATACCTCAACTAACTGATAACATTGAACCAAAAAAAACATAACTTTGTTAAATAAAAATTAACAAAACATACATATACACAGCCATTTCCCAAACTTAATTCTTGTGGAGTACTGCCGAGATTTCCAACGTACGACCAACATCCACTACAAAAGATAATAAAACATGAATTATGGCTACAAGTAAATCTCTTTGAAGCAAATAAGTATGGAGTTTTAAACGGTTGAAAATAAAATTGACTTTATAAGGGAAATACAATTCTGCAATCTTCTTAAATACACGTCATTCAAATTTGTCAGTCTGTGACAACCTCAATCATCTTTATAACTGAAAACTTAAACCTTTCGAGATTTTATGGTGTTTCGGACAGAAAGTCAACTCAATTTTTATCTTTTTTTTCTTCTCTATTTATCCAACTAAACTATTGGATACTGAAAATTGCGTATTGTTTGCGAATGAGTGGTATTAAAACAAAAATTATTATTTTTTGTATCAATTGCATTTGAGATATAATATTTCAGTCCAAATATATACGGTCCTTTTGATTTTCTTCATAACTCACTTTTATAGCAATTCTGTTTATAACTAGAGGTTCTAAAGAGCTTGTGTCGCTCACCTGCATCTTCAACAATGGACGTTGTTTTTACTCAAACATTATTCAAGGGTAGTAACTCTTTTAAGAGTTAACTGACAATTTCAGTTATATTGACGTATTTGAAGATCTTATCCTGCTGATCATTTTTTCCTTTTCAAAGTTTCTGTTTATCATTATAGTTTTGAAGATGAAATGCACAAATGCAACAATTGGGAAAAATCGTCATTGAATGGCAATAACTTCAATAAGGAGTCGACTAACAATTTCGTTCAGGCTGACTTATTTTTAGATCTTGTCTTGCAGATCATTTTCGATATTCAAAGTCTCTGTCTATGTATTATAGTTTTTGAGATTATATGCAAAAATGCAAAAAAATCGTAAAATACATTTAGGGCAATAACCCATATAAGAAGTCGTCTGACCATTTTGATGTTATCATTTTGAAGATTTTTGCACATGTAAGATTTTCTCTATTTATTGACGTTTTCAAGATAAAAGACAAATATTGCATTTCACCCCTACGTCCTATTTTTAGCCATGTCGGCCATGTTTGTCGACAGTCAGGTCCATCGTACACATTTTTAAATCTAGATATCCTAATAATGAGTGTGGCCAAGGTGTGGTAAAATTTGACCCAGTAGTTTCAGAGGAAAACATTTTCGAAAGATATCTATCAAAAAACCCCAAAAAGGAAAATCGTCATTAAAGAGCAACAAGTCCAATAAGGAGTCGTCCAACGATTTCAGCCGTTGTGACTTATTTGTAGATCTTGTTTTTTTTTATCAATTTTTGTTATTGAAGTTTCTAATATAGTTTTTAAAATAATAATAAAAAAAAAGTAAAATTACAGAATGGTAAAATTTGACATTTAAGGGCAATTACTCCAATAAAAAATCGTCTAGAGAAAAGACAAAACTTGAATTTTACCCCCTATTATCTATTTTTAGCCATGTCAGCCATGTTAGTTGGCCGGCGGGTTCATCGGACGCTTTTTTTTATAACTGGATACCCTAATGATGAGGTCAGCTAAAAATACATGTCTAGTCCCTTACTAAACAAGACTTTTTACTTCCTTTAAGATAAAGACAGAAATATGGTTTTGCCTTGTGTATATAGAAAGGTCTATATACGAAGTATCTTGTACTAAATAAATACTAGATACACAAACCGACCAATAAGGATAAGTCATTCTCGTTATTCAGATTAGCACGTTATTTTCGCCCTTGCTCCTAAATGATTTATTGGTAATCATGCTCTCTGAGCATTCAGTACTATATTAACTCACCTATCAGAAATAATCTTGATGTATGGTACATCAGGTGTACCATCATGTGGTACCCAATTTAAACAAGTTTGTTCATTAATTTCTTGTACGGCACTCTCAATTACATCTATGTCTGTTGCAGCTGAGTAAAAAAGGATTAAGGATTCATTAATGAAGCATGCAATTCGCCAATTCAGAACCTATTGCATCACGGGTATTTTATTAGTTTATTGTTCGTACCAAAAATCTTACAACGTTTTGGCGTACACTTCAGAAAATAGTACTAAAATGGACATTATGAAACGACGAATTTTGCAGAGAAATATTTCTATAAGTGTTATTTTACTACTGTCTTGTTTTCAAGGTCATGATAAGAAGTTGCTGGTATATATATAAGTATCAAAAGTTGACAGGGGTTGTATAAAAAACAACTCTTGTTCCTAAACTGTTTGTTATGACATTGCCTAAGAATGGAAAGTCTGCATTCAATGGTCTAGAAAAAATATTGTTTTATTTTGGAAATATCTTCAGGGACAACAAAACTGAATTGCTTAAAATTGTTACTTCGACTTTGATAATCAAAAACAGTTTTATTTTTTAAAGCATTCAATCGCCTATATTTTAAGATTTGTCTCGTAACCTCCCTTTTTTTTCTTTTTTTTTTTTTTTTTGGTTTTCATGCGGAAAAAAAGGTTAGAGATTAAAAGTCGAACGCCAAACAACTCAATCACACAATAAAATCTTAAAAAGACATCTAGAGGTCAAAACTCAGTCCTCAAAAATAGACAAACTCTATATCTTTTCGAATTGTGAATGAATGGAACAAAATGATAGAACAAAGATCTGCCATAGACAACAAATACATAAATTGACAAAACATGTCAATATATAACTCACTATAACCATAGACAAAACATTCCCAGACATAACCAAACACAACAATGGACAACACATGCCGAGATATTACTTAACATAACCATAATCAAAACATGACAAGATATAACTAAACATAAACATAAACAACACATAACAAGATATAACTGAACATAACCATAGACAACACATGCCAAGATATAACTAAACATAACCATGGACAAAACATGTCAAGATATAACTAAACATAACCATAGATGAGGGTCTTGAATTTGCACGAATATATAGACATACCGTTACCATGTAAAGATAAGAGAACAAAATTTAGAATTTTGAGTTTCCTTCACATCCTGAAGGAGGAGGTATATGATGTATAGTGACTTCAATAGAAAAAAAAGCGCCTTATTGATGTTACTGTAATGTTATAAGAATGTTTTGATAAAAAAAAAATTTTAATATACTTTTTTGTCAAAAATGAATATCAGTTATATAAACATCTTGTATAAGATTATTTATTTATACTGGTTTTCAGTTGAAATATCAATAGCAAGTTCTCCAAATAAGGTATTTGTTTGCATTTTTTCTAGCAAAAACAAATTTCAAGTATAATTTTACTGCTATCTGGGGGTCTTCTGAACATTTATCTGTATTATTTTATAAATTTATTAATCATGACAATTCGGTTTTTTGTTCAGACACATGGCTGTTATCGATCAAGGAAAGTAGAACTATTCCCGTACAAGATATTTAGCAGGATTCCTACTAGATTATAGCAGGAAATCTCATGGAACTAGCGGAAATTTTAAATTCCTGTTACTTTTTAGACGTACTAGGAAAACATTCAGTTTTTCTGGCAGGACTTTTCTTTTTACTACAACAATATTCCTGATATTGTTAAAAAGAATAGTTATTTCCTGCCAGAAAATCTTTCTACCAAAAACAGATAACAATAGAAATTTAAATCACAACTTTCATAAGTGGCAGCTACTTCATGAATTTAAGAGTCAAAGTTTGCAACAAGAACTTTTAACATGTATTTTCTTTGTTCTATGTGGCTAAGATTCAAACTGATGAATGACCCAGATGTGTATATGTGTATACACTTAAGTTTGTAATGTATATTTTTAGATTCTTATTAGAAAATCAATTTTCCTAGTAGTAATTTATAAAAATAATCAAGAAATATTCAAATTAGCGGGAAAATTTGACAGGAATCCTGGTCGGAATTACTTTCATCCAAATAATTCCTGCTAATTTGAAAAGTCGTGGTAGGAATCAAATTATTCTTGTACGAAAATCCTACTAATTTAAATTTTTCGGCTGTTTTTTCAGGCGGATTCCTGCTACAATCAAGCAGGAATATGCTCACTTTCCTGGTAGGAATTCTCAACAAATTCCTACTAGATCCTGTGTACATTCCTGTAGGACTAGTTCGTACAGGTTATAGAAGAAATAAAGTGAAGAAGAAAATACCATTAGTAGGAGAAAAATATAAAACGCCAAAGAAAAAACGACGATGAGACAAAACAGTCACCAAAACACTACAGAGAAACCTTAATATTCCTTTGTCCAGTGCACAATGGTAAAGCAATATCGTCGACATCGCGATATTAGCAATGTTAACATGACATCGTGTTAACATTGTTAACATTGTAAGAACATTTGTATATTGTTTATATCGTTGAAATCGTTTACATTGCGATGTATACAATGTAGTAACGATATCGTGTTTACATGGTCTACATCGCGATGTTGACGGTGTGAACGATTCATACACACAGGTATTGATTTGGTAAACAATATAAACGATGTTGAATCGATATTATCAACCTCGTGATGTACGATGTGAACGATGTAAACACAATGGTATAGATTTCGTATACAATATGAACACGATATTGACCCGCTATTGTCGATATTGCGATATTTACAATGTTAACACGATATCGTGTCAACATCTTTAACATTGTAAGAACTCTTATATACTGTTTACATCGTTGACACGGTTAACATCGCGATGTATACAATATGATTATGACATCGTGTTTACATCACCATGTTGAAAATGTATACGATGTAAACACAAAGGTAGTGACTCGGTATACAATATAAACAATGTTAACACGCTATTGTGAACATTGCGATGTCTACGATGTGAACAATGTAAGCACAAAGGTAGATACTTGGTATTCAATATAAACACGATACTGACTCGCTATTGTCAACATAACGATGTATACGATGTGAACGATGTAAACACAAAAGTACATACTTGCTATACAATATAAACACGATATTGACTTGCTATTGTCTACAACGGAATGTTTACTATGAAAACAATGTAATCACAAAGTAAAGACACAATACAATGCAAACACAATAATGACACGATACAGTAGACATCGCGATGTTCACAATATCGATAAAACATCGTGTACTGGACATACCTCAGATATTAAGCAGCACGATCCCCATAAATATCGGGGGTAAACTTAGGGCTCCCTGAAGAGTATAGGGTTCCTGTTCTACTAGTGGCATCCGTCATGTTGCTCATGTAAACCCCAAAGCAAATTGTACATCAGACATTTTCCCATAATAATACATATAAAAGCATGTGATGTCAAGTGCGGTAATAGCACAATGCTGATTTATTCCAAATCCAATTCATACGGACAAAACCTACTAAAATAATACCAATATGTTGTAGCATTCTTATTATATTTTTTTTTCATTGGTTAATGCGATCAGGTGATTCAAAGGGTATTCCATGAACCTGAAGCCTTATTTCTATTTTAACTATATTGACGCTATGTTTCTATCTCTATATATTGACGGTCAATATAAAAAATCTTGCAAAATACAATGTAAAAACACAGAAAGAACATTGAAATCCATTTTCATAATACACTATTCATATATGTAATATATAGATTAAGGGACATTGAGTCAATACGTTATATATGGACCTGTTAGGTAATGTTGACACTCGGACTTCGTCCTAGGTCAATATATAACTTATTGACCTCGTCAAAGTTCATAATTGATAAATTTTATCTGCAACATTATGAATCTTGGGTTAGAAAATTAATCATTAATGTTTTATGTAAGTTACCTTTAGACTCATATTAATTGAACTTGCTAGGACAATCTCAACACCTAAGCCTCATTTTGAAATGAGAAAAAACTACTGAGAACTAATTCCAATTAGATTGCTTTAAACTAAACATACCAAATACGGAATCAATTTCATAGGGTACCACTCCATTCGGCCAATATGAATTAGTACTTTTGAAATTTCTTTTGAGTTGACCCTGGAAAAAAGAACCAAAACAATTAATGTTTACCGCGCTAAAATACACCTATAATATTATTTGATATTCAAAAGTTAGAGTAACGAAAATGGTCAGCGGTTTTATTTAAACTGTAAATAGGAACAATGAATATCATTCAAACTCAATTAATGATTTCATTATCCATTTTGTTGTGTCAACTTTAATTTAATGTCTAACATTCAAACTGAAAGAGAGGCTCAGTAACACATAATTCGATGATTAATAAGAAGCAGAGAATGGCTATTTTTATCGTAAAATATCTTCATGTTTTCATGTAAAAACTGAAGGAATATCGAAACATTTACGTTACGGGGAAACATCAAATTACAAAGTTATATTTTTTTTTAATGCTACCAACATGAAAATTAATGATTGTTGATGTTTTGCATTTTGGTATTATCCAGTGGAACTAGACACTTTATGTTCATTTGGTTATTATCCAAGGCATTTTCGACATTTTAATTTTACATTGGGTTTTATCGAAGGGATTTTTTATATTTAATGCTTTCATTTGGAAATAATAAAAATAAAATACTCAAATAAACATACAATGTCTAAATCCAATTTGATAATACCTAAATGAAGAAAGACACTTGTGATACAATGGGCAATTAAATGTTTTAACACATCCTCAGCAAATTACAAAATTTAGTAACATAGAGTATTTACATAAATTGTTGGATATAAACTTAAATATAAAAAAACAATTAAAGATTCTAATACAAGATGATCAAGTACTGGTCATCGAGGTCAGAAATATCAAAAATGTATCTATAATGAGAAGAAATGATATAAAAAAAAACTTGTAAACCCGTCATTGCGCCTGTATTAAGGCTAGAACTTTTGTAGTTGATGTCGTCTGTGATATCTTAATGTGTGCGTGGGTTTTTTTTTTTTTTTTTATTTCTCTATTTCTTTTCTTGTTTAGTTATTTTATGTAAATTGCAAATCTTTAATAGTCTCTGTTAAATTTATTAACTATTTTTCTAGAGATGGGTCAATACTGAACTTCAGTAAGATAATGTATAGACACCTGTCTATATTTGTACAAACATTCTGTCGTTTTTTTTTTTGTTTGAGTTTATTTGTACGTTGTTGGGTTGCTGTACTATTGACACATATCCTCATATTCATTGTCTATCCCTTTCCTGTAAAATTTTGACAATTTTCATTCCATTTAAAATTCAATATAGGTCACTTTACGGCCTTTAACAATGAAAAAAGATAGCTATTAATGGACCCGACTTGACAATATGTGAAAAAATTCAAACAAAAAAAGAACGGCCTGATTTATGTACAGTGTAGCAATACAATTTGAACGTTCCAATAGTGTCTTTAAGTGTTTTAAATTTCTTCTTTACTCAAATGTTTAATGCTGTCTTTTCATCTACTGTAAAATCATTTCGATTTTCTTTGTTTTAACTATATTTATCAATAAGATATTAGGAAACTCAAATTTGTTATATGATAATTACTCACAGGAGGATCTCTTTCCAAATCTTCCCCCTTTGTCTTTTGCTTTTCTGGGTGTCGTCCTTTGGGCTACAAGCATTTGAAAGTATTAAAAAATCACAGAGAAAATGTTTCGTAGTACTGATAACAACGGACTGTAGATATTATAATACATTTTGTAAATCGAATAATACTACTTTAAATTGTCTATATTGAATAATCTTCTTTTTTTAACATTTTACGATGTTCGTTGCACCGCGGTCGGTGTGAAGATATGCATTTTGTATTAAGTAACTGATAGATAAAAATTCCGTGTGAATGGATCACGTCTCCTGTAGTTTCAGACTTTATAAACCTGCATGTGTATATAGGCGTCTTTCATATTTACACGAAAGGTATTTGAAGAATTTGATTTTATTTATTTATATATATATATATATATATATATATATATATATAAGTCTAAATTGAAAACGACGTTCAAACCTATGATTGCGTTGGATAAAAACCGCAATTTTTATACGTGTGCATGCAAAACAAATTTCTTGATAGAGGGGTCTTAATACAGCACAAACAACATTTTCCAAAAGACCAAAAAAGTGAAAAAGTATATTTTAACAAAACGCATTAGACTAACAGGTCGAACAACTGATGTTCTTAAACCCTGCTGACTGTCATTGGTGATTGCCAAATAAACGGATCACAAGCTGTAACTAAATGGATCTTTAAAAATTAATAATCTAATACCAAACAGAAAACAATAAACTTGCGGAAAAGATGGTATACCGCAAACAAAAGGTGCAAAAATTAGTACACCATATCCGGATTTCGACAATCAATGTCTCTTCAGTGTTGTTAGGGATCGAAACAGTATTTGGAAGGCCATTAAATTTACCTCTAAAATACAGCTGGTCTAAATACAGCACAAACAACATTTTCCAAAAGACCAAAAAAGTGAAAAAGTATATTTTAACAAAACGCATTTGACTAGCAGGTCGAACAACGGATGATCTTAAACCCTGCTGACTGCTATGGCAATTGCCAAATAAACGGATCACCTGATGTAAAAATGGATCTTAATTATTAATTTAATACCAAACAGAAAACAATAAAATAAAGATGTAATACAATTACAATTACATCTTCATGCCTTATATATCATGTACTGTGTTACGACGCTAGATTAAAACTTACGAGGAAAGGTAACACCCGGCCACCGAAAGCTTTATTTTTGTAGAGCCTAGATGGTCGAGTGGTATAGCGCGTCGGGCACAGTGCCAGGCGATTTGGTGCCACGATATCTCAGTAGCATGAGTTCGAATCCCGGCCAGGGAAGAACAAAAAATTTGCTAACGCAAATTTACAGATCTAACATTGTTAATGAATTATATATATATATAATGTGTTTTCAGCCTTGTATCACCATCACGTGTGATCCGATGGATAAAATCTGTTGTAGAGTCGTCACTGGTTCAGACGTACTTATATATATATATATAGAAAGAATCTTTAATTAATTACAGAAATAATCTCTTCATGTTTGTCTTATCTTTTTCACGTGCGTTATAAATTTGCATGAACGTAAACAAGTATATTTAAAAATGTATAAACATTATAATATACCTGACGAATATGTCCGTGTTTATCCACACTCATTGCATCCAATAAATGAGAAAACTCAGAATCTGCTTCAAGGTCCTGTCAAAATTAAGAAATATAAAGTGTTTGCAGCTTATAGACGACTTTCAAATTCGTGCTTTTTCCCGTTAATTTCCGAGGTCACACTACTTATGTAAAAAATTCACCGTAAGAGTCCGAATGGTCTTTATTCACTCAGTACAAGCGTCCCTTTCAAGTAATACGAATGTTTGATAGTGAAAATATTTCATAATAAAATTGAGCTTCAATTGGCCCCTAAACAAAAATGCATATTCTAGCGTAGAACAAAATATATTATCTATGCTCTAATAGGTATATTGAAATGGGTGTGACGGGATATTTTGACTGGTACTAGAAAATGAATATGGTGGTTAGGTTTACAAAGTTTGCTTTGGAACAAATCATCAACTGCTATGGTTGTGCTTTTGAAGATCACATTTGATACGTATGTGCCAAGTATAAAAATACGCAAGCGTATCAAATAATTCATTTGTATCTTATTATTTATAAAACACGGATGTTAGATTTCACGTTCTTTGTCAAGTTATGAATGAACTTTGATAACACACATTAAATCTTTATCATACATTTTGTTGTAAGAATATCTTACAAAATTTAAAGATGGTCTGCCATATAAATAAAAAAAACAAGATAAAAAATACCTCTGGTTTATCAAATTTGTACCCCATTTTACGACCTTTTTTCTTGTTGTTTTTCAGTTTTCTTCCTTTCTTTGTTAGGGCTTTCTGTCCAACGTTATTCGTATTTTTCTTGTTTGAAACTAGGAGTTGAGATAAGCGACTGTCTTCCTCTCTTCCAATGGACTGTAAAATTCGATGTGTTTGCTCATGATTCTTTTCGTTTCTTTCCCCTGCTGTTTGACGACCATAGTGACGTCTGTAGCCGCTTTCTCTAAATTTGTTGTTCTCTCTTGAAGCATGATTCAATAAATTGATTTTTTGTTCATTTTTATCCAGTATCTGCCTGCTTTTTGTGTCCTACAAAAAAGGGTATTAAAACTTATCGAGAAATAATTTAACAACATTGTATCTATTGATGTCATACGAGAGACATTAGCTGATATCAATTATCTCAAAATATTTTTAAGATGTGGTATGAGTGCCAATGAGACAACTCTTCATCCAAGTTACAAATTGTAAAAGTAAACCATTATAGGTCAAAGTACGGCCTTCAACACGGAGTCTTGGCTCACACCCAACAGCAAGCTATAAAGGGCCCAAAAATGACTAGTGTAAAACCATTCAAGCAGGACAACAAACTGTCTAATCTAGATAAAAAACAAGAAACGAGAAACATTTTTTGTATATATATAAGTACATGTGAGAGAGGTAGTCGCTATGATTATACTTTATGTATACTTACTGCGAGTAATTCCTTCTCCAACTCATTGATTTCTTCTGCTATTCTGTTTTCTATAAGCAGACAGAAAATAATAATACTGTTAACACTGTAGGATACAAAATTTAAACGTCAATTTTACATTTGCAGCAAAAATATTTAACAGCTGTTACTGTAAGTTCTCTCACCACAATCACTAGGTCTACAAGTTAAAAAGAAATGAATCATTTTTATCACTTGTAGATGAAATGTACCTACGCTAGTAAGAACACCACCTGGTTCCCCCCTCCCCCGCCTCAGTTTTTTTGTGAGGTCGTGTTGCCCAATCTTGTTGTTTATATATTCTTCTGGTTTCGTTTCCTTTTTACAATGGAACTTCTATAAACATTAGATTTGTAAGAATTGAAATGGGTAAAAATATACTATAGAAAATAAAAGGATATGGAGTAAATGTACATGGGACAAAATCGCACACAATACATAGAAAAATATAAAAAATTATCAATGAACAGGGCTTTTATTCATTTTCTTCATCTTGACAGTTGATGTAGGGTCTTCAACAATGAAAAAATCATTAATACCCTACAACAAGGTCAAGACGGCCCCAAGCGTCGACTTAAGCGGTACTATTGATAAAAAAAAACACAGTTCACCTTCTTGCTCCCCACCCGCCTCGGAGTGCCAACTTGTGCGATGCTTGTGTACGACGGTTCTCCAGTCGAAAGCACCAGGGATACAAGAAAAGTGCAGTAATTTTGAAAGACATCAATCGCCGCTAAAATATGCTTTGAAGTTACACATGTCGGGAGCGGTCAATGAATTACATAATTTATATTAACGGGCGAGGGTTTTCAACATATATTTGTCATGCATTGCCCAACAAAAGACCAATACATTCGAAACAACAAATGACAGACAATACATATAAAACTAACCAACAAATAATAGACAGCACGGGGCACATCGAAATATATGTAAGACAACCTAGCAGTTTAAAATAGTATGAAAGGGCAATATACAAAACAGATGACCATACCAGTATTTTGAAGAAATTAAGAAAATATTTAATAGCCAAACATGAAATATGGCAACTTTATCGCATAGTGTTGTATGAAAACTTCTTTTCAAAATGCTAATATTTATACAGTGGAAAATAAATTATGTACCTGGAAGGTCTTTTAGAAGAAAAAGAAAAATCACTAAAAGCGATCTGTACTCATTTCTCTTGAAAGAAATTGATACAAAATACTGCAGTATCAATACCAGGTGAAAACGTAATTAGTTGCACATAAAACGTAAGTTTTAGTCGAAGTTATGCCCAGATCTAAATGGTGAAATCTCATAGCCAAAGTTTGTAAAGCCATCGAAAGTAAATATATTGAGAGAAAATACACATATAATTTAAAATGGACGGAAAAATAAGTGGCCGCATAGACTTTTGTTCACCAATGTGTTAATAGAAAATCCCGAGACTTCAATTATCTTTACTTTTATGTTTCTTTGTAGTATCCGGTCAGTTAGAAATTCGCAGTATTTACTTTTTAAAGCGTCATTTGCTATGATTTTGACAGTTTTAGTCGAAAGAAATGAAGTATGTTTGTTTTTTATTGCTCCAAACATTTACAAGAACGGAATATTGAATGTAGCAGTGATTTTGATTCAATTGAATTTGGTTAAAATAAACCAAAAACTGTGCTGATACTGTATTGTTGTGTTGAGTTATGAAAAGAATCTTAGCGTTTCTGATAAAAGTATATCCAGAAAAGCGCTTCGGGCGCAATAAATCTTCAAAGTGTAATTTTTTAGCCGGAAAGTTGAACTAGGAAAGCCAACTGAAAGACCAGTGTCGTTAACTGATTTGGCCCGCAAAAAATCATTCTGATACAGGTGAAACGATGATTTACATATTTTTTAATCTATATGATAATCGTCGTTGCACTATTGTACGTGCTTGCCTGTATATGTATATCTATTTTTTGTCAAGATCACGTGCTCATCAGCAATCTTCGGAGGCCATATCGCTGGTTGATTAATTGATTGATGTTAGTTGCTTAATTTTAGCTGGTTAGATGATGTATAGTCACAAATACGTACGAAATGTTGATACTTTATTACGAATTCACGTATTGATAATTGCTTCCTATGGAACTTTTGTAATTCTAATATACGTTTTAGGATGTTATATATCTAATTTGAGAGTTTTAGTCATTTCTTTAAACATGAATTGACAGCTAACGTTGCTATAAAAAAATGTAGTCTGTGAATGCTAATCTTTAACAAAAATTCACAAGATTTTTTTTCCTGAGAAGACTGATTTAAAGTAGTATGGAGGAGTTTAAAACTTTTCACAATCACAAAATTTATACGCAGCTAACAATGAAATTAGGTTTCACTACAGTAAAGACCAAATTAATAAATTCAAAGGAATAAAGGATATATATCCCATTGTTAAAACTAAAAAGACTTCTCTAATTCCAAATTCCTTTTAGCTCATCTAAATTTAGACATATAATATTGCGTTCATATGAAATTGCTCAATTCAGACTTATTTTCACTTACAACTTAATTTTTTGTATTTTTGGGGATTTATTAATTATTATATTGAGGGGGTGGAAGTCTTTTGTTTTGGGTTTTTTTTTTTTTTTTTCTATCTTATTTGACTGGTTTAAAAAAAATCAGTATAATTGAATGATTTGTATTTAGTGAAGCTAGATGATTTTCAATTTATATTTCTTTAATTTAAAGCCAGTAAAGTACGCTTGTTTCTTTTCGATGACTGTAATTGGTTTACGTTCAGAAGAAAAAAAGAAAAAATAACAAAAATACCGAACTCCAAGGGAAATTCAAAACGGAAACTCCTTTATAAAATGGCAAAATCAAAAGCTCAAACACAAAAAACGAATGGAAAAACAACTTTGATATTCCTGACTTGGTACAGGCATTTCCTTATGTAGAAAATGGTGGATTAAACCTGGTTTTATAGCTAGCTAAACGTCTCATTTGTATGACAGTCGGAAGAAGAGCTCAAATGTGCACCGTAAGCTTCAATCAATACACGATCAAAACCAATACCCATTGCAAATTTGTAAAAGGAAATCAGACATATAAAAACTAAAATAAAGCTTAAAATCTAAAACAACATTTATCGAAAACACAAAATGTAAAGAAGGAAAAAGATCCAAGGACTAAGGTACAACACTTTAACGTGTATGCTTTTATTGATGTACAATATCGTAATGTTAGAAAACAGCACAACAGATCAAATAAAAATATGATTATGGTTATAACCCCACCCACCCCCCCCCCCCCCACCCCCCCCCCCCCGGGGCCTACCCCAGAAAAGAATCCCCCTTTTCTACCTTTACATATTATTAGGTTTATCATGTAAATAAAGCTGAGTACCGGTGACATGTATATTTATGTACAATATGTTTTGTTAAAGGTAATTAATGACTCTTTGATAAAAATATTTCGATTCATTGGTTGTACTCTGCTGCATTTGTATACGTTACAGGCATTTTCTATATCAAGGCATTTTACACATTTTAAGGCAATTTATTCTGTCTTTTCGTGACAGGCTTCATATAAAAAAATAATTTGTAAAATGACTGAATTTTTTAAACAAATTTAAACAAATTGTCTGTTCAATTTTAAGTAATCTGTAGCAAATTGAAATACATATGACCAAACACACCATATCTTGGAAAACAAATAAGTAATGGTTCAGTTGAATAAAGATTATTCTCCATATACCAACAAGTTTGTATGTCTAGGATTTGTATTTTTCAGTGAAACTACTCACTATGTATTTCATTTTGTAACTTTACTATCTTCTTCTCGGGATGGCAAAAGGACAAATTGTTCTTACAATGCGACAAAATTTACATACAAAGTTTAAAGAAATCTCGTTTTTTGCCCCCCTCTCTTCACCTAAAAAAAAAGGACTAATGTGAACGTATCCTGTCATCCAAACATTACATGAAATAACAAATAATTGTCGACTTCATTGCTTGTGTGAATTGAAAATCATTCAGTAGAATTTATTTTTCATTGTCAAAACTTCAAATGCACCCGTTGAATCATCAGTAATTATCAAAGAAAAAAATTGCTCTACTGATCAATACTTTCAATGTCTCAATTTTTGTGAACATTTCATTAAATACAATAATTTCCTGAAAAAATAATTATAGTCCGTATATAAAATGGCTGTACAGGAATTTTAGAAAATCCCTTAAATACAAAATGCCTAAATTAAGATAATGCCTGAACATATATAAAGACTCTAGTTGATGTTTATGCTTGAACCCGTACACTACAGAATAGCATAAATTAAACATAAGGCTGGCATCGTCATGTCAGATTAGTAATTGCAACAATTATTATTTATCGTATACAAAATAAATAATTAAATTCTTACAGTTACTGATAGAGACTGCTGCAGTAAAACGAAAGAAAAACAACAAAATTAAGCAACTTAAATTCATTATGAGTTGATTTAGTTGTTCCGTCCGTAGCAGTTTCAAACTAAACTTTACTTATATATCCAATTGCAGTTGATGATCAACATTAATGAAACGTCATTCTTGGTCAAGGTATTTAAATAGCTTCCGATTAGTTTTATATTGATAAAAAGAAGTAAAGCGGATGAGAAAGCAACTTACGTATATTTAGAAACTTATTTACCTTGGTCCATTTCACATCAAATGTATTTAAGTGGTAATCTGCCTAAGAATCAGGCTGTGGTGAAAACATGACAAACAGAAACCAACTCAACTTTACATTCAATTAAGTTCAGAATGTTTTAATTTTGCATAGAATATAACATTCGTTTCCTCTCCCTTTTTTGGTAATTCAAGATATAATTTGGTTGAAATGGACTAGAAATTAAAACAATTAAAGGGAGATAAATCCGTAATTTGCTTTCAGATGCTCTAGATATTTCTCGAATTACCAGCCACGCAGGAACGAAAGACCTTCCATTTCTCACCCAGGATGAGGGTACCTTCAAAATAAGGTGGTTAGGTTGGTGGGTTTTTTTCGGCCATGGTTTGAAATTTTTCTAAATTGCCTGATGCTTACAAGGACTGGCACTTAAAATATTACAAATTGATAATTTTGATCAAAGTAAAATTTAACAATTATTTTAATATAGTGCTTACAAATGTAATGATCCTCGATACTTTTATAGTCTTACCTTTTACTTCTAGGATGTGCACAAATAAAAAAAAGTTAGTTATCACGTAAATAGGGACAGTAATAAAATAAAGATTACTTATAATCATTGCAATACAGCTTAATTTGTTCATTTACCTTATAAAAAAAAATATTTTTAATTCAAAATACTGTTTGATAATAGATTGATGCATTAGAACGTGTTTGTCAATTGATTCCATTCTGGTTAAATTGAGAATTAGAAGTAGATACCTAAGCCCCCAAAACATATAAACTTGATTGAGTATTCTCATCTTAAAGCACACCCAAAAACAGGTTATAATGAAGAAACTTATGTTCAAACTGTCTCAGACAAAGCTGACATAGGCGTCTGCTATCATTTGTAGGTCCTTTATGGTCATATTGCTCTTGTCCAGTGAAAAATAGACCTATTTAATTAAGATAATGTCTGAACATATATAAAGACTTTAGTTGATTTTTATGCTTGTACCCGCACTCTAGAGAATAGGATAAATCAAACAATAGGCTGGCATCGTCATGTCAGATTATTAATTGCAACAATTATTATTTATCGTATACAAAATAAATAATTAAATTCTTACCGTTACTGATAGAGACTGTTGCAGTAAAAAGTAAAAACAAAATTAAACAACTTAAATTCATTATGAGATGATTCAGTTGTTCCGTCCGCAGCAGTTCCGAACTAAACTCTACTTATATACCCGATTACAGTTGATGATTTACGTTAATGAAACGTCATCCTTGGTCAAAGTTTTTAAATTGCTTCCGATTGATTTTATATTTATAAAAACAAGTAAAACGGATAATAAAGCAACTTACGCATATTCAGAAATTTATTTACGTTGGTCCATTTCACTTCCAATGTAATTAAGATATTATAAGTCGATAATTTTGATCAAGGTAAAATTTAACAATTATTTTTAAATCGTGCTTATACATAAAAATGATCCTGGGTACTTTTATAGTCTTACATTTTACTTCTAGCATGTATACAAATAAAAAAAAAAGCTAGTTATCACGTAAATAGGGATATTAACAAAATAAAGATTACTTATAATCATTGCAATGAGGCTTAATTTGTTCATTTACTTTTTAAAAAAAAACCTATTTTTTAATCAAAATAATGTTTCATAATAGATTGATGCGCTTTAGGTTACATTTACATCCATTGGGATATCAATCGACTATCTTTTTCGTGGTCAACGGAAAGTTTTCGTCAACACACTAAATGAACAAAACATTTTGGTGTATTCAATAAACAGCGTTCTAACATCTTAACTACATAATGAAAATAAAACAATGTAGGTGAAATGTTAGGGAGCAAAGATATATGAGTGACTTTACTTTAACATGAGCTAAGCAAAATCTGAATTTGCTTCAAAAACGTCTTCCTTTATGGCACTTTAATTATTGTTTGTAGAAAAACAGAAAGTTATATTTAATTAACGTATAATGGCCACCGATATTTCTGTGATCGAGACCGAGTTGCAAGACACTTAAAGCATCACTTAGTACGTGTTTGTCAATTGATTCCACTCTGGTTAAATTGAGTATTAGAAGAAGATACCCAAGTCCCCAAAACATAAACTTGATTGAGTACTGTCATCTTAAAGCACACCCAAAAACACGTTATGATAAAGAAACTTATGTTCCAACTCTTTCAGGCAAAGCTGACCTGGTTGTCTGTTATCATTGTTAGGTCCCTTATGGTCATATAGCTCTTGTCCAGGGAAAAATAGACCTTGGGCTACCGTTGATGAAAAAGTAGCCGACATCAACTCATCGGTGGTGATATAATTTTGTGAATGATTTTCTTCATTAAAATTAAATTAGAAAGGATAAATAACAAGCCATTGTTGGAAGAGCCTGCAATTTGTTGCGTCGCATTTACTGGTCCAACGTATAAGCCCCAGTTTTAAAGTGCATAAAAATTGAAATAGAAAATAACACTTAATTGATTTTATGTGTTTGAAGCACTTTACTTTAAATAAGCAATGGTTCAGTTGAATTAAGATTATTCTTCATACACCAACAAGTTTGTATGTCTAGGATTTGTATTTTTCAGTGCAACTACTCACTCTGTATTTCCTTTTGTAATTTTACTTTCTTCTTCTCGCGATGGCATAAGGACAAATTGTTTTTACAATGAAACACATTTTACGTACGAATTTTAAAGAAATCTCGTTTTTTAAATAGAAGTGTGATATATGAGGCGGAGAAAAAGAAGAAGTATTTTTGATTCACTGGTTGTTGTTTTTTTTAACGGTCAGAAGCAAATATTTCGTGCATATTTAGGACGGGAACAATAATTGATAATAAATCATATAAGTCGGATCCTGAAATGGATTGACAGGGATGAAGGGAGGACCAAAAAATTTTCTGCCGCCTTTCAACAGGTCATATGGGACCCTGTCAACGAGTATCAATGTTCAGACAGCGCGGCACTCTGCCAACTGAGGCATCATATCCCCCTCGCCGCCTTTCCCTTCATCAAAAACAAATCAGGACCAATGTGAACATATCAGTAGTTGCAATATTTCAGTCATAAACGGTCATTTTGGTCTGATCAAGTCTTAATCGACTGGATTTACTGCTAGCGAAAAACGTCAAGACTTTTTCAGACTTTCAGACGCTGTCACGATATACTGTGTTAAGTCCGTTCAGTCATGTCAAGATAAACAAGACAGATTCCTCTTGCATTCGATTACGACTTGATCAGATCATGTTCAGATCAAATCAGACCAAAAGTAAAAATGCTGTTTAGATTTTGTAAGATCATGTTCAGTCGTGTTAAGATTTTAAATAATCGCATGCAAAACGGGCGACTCTTTCTTTGTGGTTATCAGTGGTTGTTCCCCCTTTATGAATAAAATCGGCAAAGAATGGAGGGTATTCATTTGTGGTGTTTTAATGTTATATTGTATGTCTATTAATTAAATAACGGTTGCAAACTTGCAATTCATTTTTTCCGATGTTTTTCAAGTCCACATTTAATTGGTTATATTTAATTGGTTATATTAGAAAAAACCGGAAAAATGTGTAAGTCATATAAACTTTGCAGTCGTGCTTTCTGGCATTAAGTAATTTAATTTATTCATTCCGTCTGTAAAGATATAAAGATTAGAAATAGATATAAAAAATTATCTTAACAAATTTTCTTCTGTGATTTAAAAAAAATAAGATAATTGTTCTTAGCCATATAAAATGTGTCATTGAAAATATATTCTGAGTATCTTTTTTACTTTATAGATCTTTATATTTTTCAAATTTTTGACAGATGACAGATGTTTGGTGAAGGTTATTTACATTAATTTTCAATATACGGATTATCTGAGCAGTCAACCGAAATGGGTTGTCAAACACTATCTTAATAACTATAAATACCCGTGCAACGCTGTGGCTGTTTTATCCATGGAAGTTAAGTGAACTATATGTCCATGTTTTATCATATATAAGGATACACCGGATAAAATTATTACATTTACAAATTATAAAACACTATTTCAAAATAAATGCAACAAGAATGCAAGCATATTTCAAAGATCTAGGTAACAGTTTATATTTAGTATAAGTACCTATAAAACCCGATTTTGATGCTTCTCTGACCATTTTTTAGAATCAAGTCTTTTTAGCAAGAACTTATAAAAGAATAAACTATATAATAGTAAAATATAAAATGGAATAAGTTAAGAAATGATTGGTAAAAAGAATATGTACATAATTATAAATCTAGTTTACAATTTATATTTCTGTTTCGTAGCAGATTTGTTTTATATAGCACCCGTGTTACTTCTCATTTAAAAAAAATGTCAAAGTGGCTTGGTACCTTAACGCCTTTATTGTGCTTCAAAAAATATATCCTTTAGATAATTAAAATTTAATAAATCTTCTTTTATCAAGGCTTGTGAACAATTTCCAAAACTGTAAAAAGAAAATGTGTAATAAAACGTAATTATTTCAAGATTTTTCTCTTATATATTCAATCAATTGTCAACAAATTATTTCTGACTTTTTGTCCTATAAAATTTGTAACTTTCTGTCCTGTGACTATTTGCCCCCTGTCCGTTAGAAATGACCTCCCGCACTCAGGGAGAGAAAGCTGCCGAGACTACCAATGCTAATTGTTAGATAGAAAAATAAGTACATCAGTCATTCTCAATTTTATATGTATATATATATACGGTATACCATTTTTCCGCAAGTTTATTGTTTTCTGTTTGGTATTAAATTAATAATTAAGATCCATTTTTACATCTGGTGATCCGTTTATTTGGCAATCGCCATGGCAGTCAGCAGGGTTTAAGAATATCCGTTGTTCGACCTGCTAGTCAAATGCGTTTTGTTAAAATATACTTTTTCACTTTTTTAGGTCGTTTGGAAAATGTTGTTTGTGTTGTATTTAGACCCCTTTACCAAGACATTTAATTTGCATGCACACGTATAAAAATTGCGGTTTTTATCCAACGCAATCATAGGTTTGAACGTTGTTTTCAATTTAGACTTGAATATATATATATATATAAATTGCCAAACAATGTAATAACACACTATTGAGTATGTAAATATTAGAATATTTAAGATATTTACAACGCGATAAAAAATAAAAAATAAACGCTATACAACCTAGCTTTATCAAGCGTGCATCTATCCAGGTGAAATCGGATGTAGATAAAAAAAAAACTTTTGCAGCTCACTGTACATAAAGTTAGCTGTCTTGTAAAGAATTCAAAATTTGGATGAAGTTCAAGATTATTTACAAAACTGGTGATTGAAGTCTGCAACGTCCATTGGCCAATATCACAGGTTAAAAGGACGATGCTGTGTATTAAATTATTCTTTATCTTTCCTGTATCTTTTCTCGTCTTTTTCATTAAGACCATCAGATTCTACAGTGTGGAGCTGGTGGATACAAAAGTTGTCTCTTCTCCTTCTCGCCGTGGTGTCCCACTCGGTGTTGACTTCTATGATTTGGAAAGTTACATTATCAAAAGGATGTTTCTTTGAGCGAAGATGTCTTGTGAAAGGACAGTTTTTTTGTTGGTTTTGTACCATGAACGATGGTTATTAAGCCGAATATTAAATGTATCCATTGTTTCTCCCACATACACAAACTCTAATATTCAGTATTCAACATAAGAACATATAAGAACCATACAGATTAAATGACATACACCGATTTGCTTGCTCAATAACTATAACATATTAAACGTTGTCCTGCGGACAGAATATTGAGAATCGACACTTAAGGTGAAAATGCGTGTATTCCTCTCTCTCTCTCTCTCTTATTTATCAGTACCTTATAATATGCCACTAAGTACTAGAAGGGGTGCTGTTGTCACGGAATAGAAGTTCCTTCATAATATAAGTTCCAAAAGGAAAAAATATTCTGGAATATTATTTCCACAGGAATAAATATTACAGTATATGTTCCTAACGGAATAAATGGTATAGAATATTTGTTCCAACAGGAATAGATATTATGACATTGTTTATAACAAAGTTTCCAGTGGAACTTCTGTTAGGCGGAACAAATATACGTTGACACTGTTACATATATTGTTTTCATATTATGGTAGAGATTGATGTTAAATACATAAATTCCACTTTTTATAGAAAAAGAACTACAAATAAATGAGTAATTGAACAATATATAGTGGCACGTGTCGTTTTTTCTTTGATATTGCCGAAAATCTGTAAAACGATTG